GAGTAGCTATTACTATATTGATACGACCAGCTTGTGAGTTTTATCATGATCTTTGACGTGTTTTGTTTTAAACAGATCCTCTAGATATCAACTCAAAAATAAAAAGGATAACTCATAAAGGAAAAATATACCCTTTTCAGAGAAACTTTATCATTGCTTCATTAGCAATCCTGCAGTCCTAATGTATCAAAAATGTAATACAGTTTGTGAAAAAATTAAGCTATTTAACATTTTAAGAAAATATGTATGATATAAAGTAGGTTACATGTTTTTTTTTAAATGATTATAATTCATCATACATTTCAAAGATATGAAGAGAAGGAATGGCAGAATGGCATCCTACACAGACTCTTGAGTCCTATTTAATGGGTTTGAAACCAGACTTCCACCACATACTAGCAGGTTGGACAAGTCAGTTTAACCCTGCTGTTCCAATTGCCTCATCTGTAAAATATGAGATTCATTTAATGTTATCATGAGGATCAAATGAGGTAATAATACACAGTACTTAGCAAAGTGCTTAGAACATGCTAAGTGCTCATTAATTTCTGTTACTTTTATAATTCCTGTTAACATTAACACTAGTACTACCAGTATGCTAAATACGAGAAGTTTTTCCGAAGAACAGAAACTCAAAGTATTCTAACTATAAAGGTAGAGATTTTTACATATCCTTAAAATGATATCACTTTCTTCCAGCATTATGCAGAGTAGAATTATTTGAAAATATGCTGAGATTTTAGATGTTTTGTATGAATGAATATTAATCTTTCACTAAGTGCTTTATTTTCTCCAAATAATTATTTAACCCCAAGTTTAATTTTTCACTATAGCTCATATATCCTGAGAAAATATGAATACTAATGTCACATTATTTTCTAAATTATGACATGCAAAATAAAAAGTTTCAAATTATGGCAGAATATGCACTTGCTCTCAATGCCATTTTGAAATAAATGCCCAGAATTTCATTTAATGAATCCAATGTAGTATCACTCTTTTCCACAATTTCTTTCTTGTGTCTCAACATTTTGTCTGATTCATGAAAATGTAGGTGTGTTTCTACTATAAAAAAGAAGGCATGTATATATATGCTGGTTTATACTTAATCAAGGCCTTGAAAAAAAAATCAAGGAGGTAAAATCAATCACACACACACATACATCTGTATGAATAAAAAGGCGTTCGTTTGCTTGTTTGCCTTGCATTTTTTCAAGAATTGCCTTAAGGCTTCATTTTCCTTTCTACGCAATTGATTTATCCATCCAAATTACTAGATCACTAAGCTTTTAATTTTCTAAGAATCTCTGGATTTGGCTGTATATATGCATTTGACTTCAAACATTTAATTAATGATGACAATTAGAAACACACATATAAATTGGACTTCCAGCACTTATGTTACCTGATTTGTAATAATATAATAGTTTTAAATAATGTAAGAAAAAAGATAGGTTATTCTAAAATTTACTTTAAAATTAATACAATATAAAGTAATTAAAGATATGTTAAAGTATTAGCCACCTGTAATTTGTAGCAGTTTTGTAAAGTCTGCTATCTAATTCACATTTTTGACAGATTTATGTATTACACATGTGCACTTTTCTCACATGCACAATATATGTTTTATGTAGTGTTTGTGTCGACTTTAACATCTATCTGTGAGACTTCACTCAGATAAACATTTTAATCAAAATTTCAAATAATTACTAAAAATCACCAACATTTGATTAACATATTATGATCCGTTGAAGTAAGCAACTAAGTTTAGGTCTGGCGGTTGCCTCATATGTCACTGCAATCCTATATATAGTACTTATAGGGAGCTTAACTAGCATATATGTACAATTGCATGCATTCTATGATATTTTCACCCTTCAATATTCACTCTAGTTTTTGACATTGCTTCCAAATTTTCATATATGTTAGTATCTTTATAATTGACAGATTAAATACATTTGTTGTTTGTAACAGAAACTTTGTAAAATTATGCTCCCTTAGAGGTAAACATGCCCTAAATATTCACTGCATGTTCTTGTCATCCTATCTCCTTTTTAATCATTATTTTAACATCACCCTTTTCCTTCTTACCTTCCCTCTACTCCTGGGGTTTATAGGTGTAATGATATCAGCCTCAAAGCCCAGCACAGGTAGTGAGGCGAGAGGGGCAACAAAATATCTCAGTACATCATAAGGTTGGATGCTGAGGGGGGAGTTGTGCTGTAGAGGACTTGGAGGCAATGCTCTGAAGCCAAGGAAGCAGACAGGTGCATAGACAAGATAGGGCCTATGAAGGATATGGCCAAAGAGATGCCAAAATATTTGTGAGTATACATAAGTATTCACAATGTATACTTATTGTACTTTGTACTTATTGCAAGTATATTGAGGGTGTGGGAATTAGGTTTATCATTGCCTGAAATAGATTCATAATTATGGCAAAGGAAGACAGTTGAAAAGAACCCCAATGTGTTCGATTGAAATTAAAAATATTGATATGAACTCATGAGCCTTAGTTATACATACCCAGACACAAATACACACAGATAAATAGAAATGGTTATATATGTATGTGTGCATATGCCTATACATAGTAGACTTTTATTATTTGAAGTATTATGTTCTATAAAAATGGCTATGAATATGGAATCAGCAAAAACTAAAACCATTGTTTTTAGGGATAATATAGAGTTGGGTTCCTGTGAGGCTCTGGTCACGTTTTAATCAACTGATCATTACATAACCTTGTTTTAGGTGTGTTTCTGCTTAAAGACACTTTATTGAATATATATTGTTGATTCATAGTCAACAACAGCACTATAGCTCATGTCTGAATGGAGTTTATCTAACACATATTTTCTCTGTAAGTCATATCACAGGCTTCTTGTGCTTAGGAACATTAGACAGCACTTCAGCACTACCCTAGGGGTCCACTTTAAATAGCAAAATCACCAAAAAATCAAGATGTGAAAAATGTAACACTAAACAGATCACAAAGGGGACACTTGTTTATAGTATGGAAACAAGAAGGGATTAAATTGCCTTAGATGATCTCAACTGGGAACACCTTCATGGGGTGCCTCAATTTGTTTGTCACTTTGAGCATGTCTATGAATACAGCAAAAGCATCATGAGTATTGATTTTGGGGTTTCAAATAAATTTTAGCAAGGAAGTGGATTCACACAAATACAACAACCGAGAACAGTAAGAATCAAATTGTATATCTGCATATCTATCTATTTGTACTTATTTCTCAGTTCTGTCTAATGGGAGAGCATAGAAGCACTGAGCACATCTAGTTTCTGGGTATTGGTATCTAAATACCATCTTCTACTGAAAGGAGCAGGCAGTCTTGCAGAAATGGCTGATTTCAAAATGGGGACAAGAAAAGAACAAGATAAGCTTGCAGATTGTATTGATTGAAAAAACAAGGCATAAGGAAATGCTCAAAGAGTAATGGAACATGAAGAGAATGCAGGAGGCAGCTTGACAGGGCTCTTATTGGCTAAATTTAGAAAAATATTAACATCAAATAAACAATGAGAGTACCAGACTAGACCCCAATGAATAAAACAGAAATCTATTAGACTAAATGTTTTTGTGTGTATGTATGTATATGTGTGTGTATATATTTTACATATACACACTACTTTGATTAGTGGAATAAAAGTAGTGTGTATATACTACTTTTCTTAGTGAAAAAGAAAGTAGCAAATGTAGGAAAAAATTTAGGAAGGATGATATAATTTCTATTTGGCAATCACCATAGTGGTAGTAAATAGAGATGGGAGTCATCAGTGGATTGGTAGATTCTATTAATGGTGGGTAGATGAGAGAGAAGAGAATATTAGCATAATATCTCAACATTTATCCACAAAGTATTAACCAAAAGGTAATAAAAATAAAATCATGGTATAGGATTTTTTTAAAACTTGAACTTTTTAAAATTAATATAATTTTTTTGAATTTTAACCTTATTTGGGGACGTCTCAGTAGTTATTTTATTCCATGTATTTAAATCAATATTCTTGCACTGAAAAATATGGAGACTTTATGTAATATTTTCACATATTTTTGCCTCCAAACTAGGTTTTAACTACCTTAAAGTAGTTAGGAACAAATTCTTCCAGGGCATTTTTCTCAATAACAATAATAATAACATGAACTAAGTGTTGCTCTACTACCCACCTTTACCCACCTTTACTGTCATCAATGTTAATTCACAATAGAATATCATTGCTTTGTCAGCCCAGTGACCCTATTCTTGTATTGGGAAGTGCAGTTCTCATCTTTTTAGACATTCTTTTTTTTTTTTCATTGAGACAGAGTTTCACTCTTGTTGCCCAGGCTGGAGTGCAATGGCATGATCTCAGCTCACCTCAACCTCCACCTCCCGTGTTCAAGCGATTCTCCTGCCTCAGCCTCCCGAGTAGCTGGGATTACAGGCATGAGCCACCACGCCTGGCTAATTTTTGTATATTTAGTAGAGATGGGGTTTTACCATGTTGGTCAGGCTGGTCTCAAACTCCCAACCTCAGGTGATCTGCTCGCCTTGGCCTCCCAAAGTGCTGGGATTACAGGCGTGAGTCATTGCGCCCAGCCTAGACATTCCTTATTATACCATTCCAGTTCTATGGTTCTCATGGGCTCTTCCATTTTTAACACGTGACACCATTACATGGGTTCATTGCCCAAAGCTGAGCAGCAGACCCAGGTAGGAACATCATATAGATTTTCTGAGTATTTTAAAACCGAAATGGGGTGCTTCCAAAGTAACAAATGCTGTGAGTCATGAGGTCTGAGAGTTCTTAGTTATATGATCATTAACATGTGGAAAACACATGCCAGAATAAGAGACTTCTAAACAATATCAAAGACATAGGTAGATGAAAGATAGAGGTAGATTCCCATGGTGTCTGAAATTCTTGTCCCGTTGATGCTAAGGCTTAGCTGCATCCTTACTCTTCCCCAAATTTGGTTACTTAATTCCCCCATTTACCTTGTAAGCTAATAAATTTCTGCTTTGCCAAAGCCAATGAAGTGTCTGTCATCTGCAAAAAAAAAAAAAAAAAAGGTTTGGTTAATAAAATTATCATCCTCTTCATCATTCTACTTATCATAAAGAGCAAGTCTGTCAAATATTTTTGAGGTAATGAAATCTTCAGAAATTGTTTTCTTGGTTAAAATTCAGGCATATTGAGAGAATAGCTATAAAATGTAGCATTTTTGTAAATATTGTGCGAAAATGTAAAATAATATTACTTTTCACAGACGAAGAAACAACAATTTAGAGATATTTCAGAGAAAAGAAGTAAAAATTTAATGATCTGCAAATTTTATTCCCACTGGAGTCTAAAAATTAATGAGACTACGTGAACCTGTTACGAACAGCTTTTATTTGGCAATGGTAAAATGTAAGATACTTTAATACATTCTCTCTTTGGTTTATATGTAGAAAGATTTGTGAGGTGTTATTCTACTGCTAATGGAATTTGCATTACTTTATGGAAGTATAAAATGTTCAGAAATATCAAAAGTTACACAAAGTCATTTCCAATTTCCTTTTCAGTAAGCCGACATTTAAACTACCAGTCATTGTTAATTTAATTATTAGTATTCAAAATTCATGGTGTATTAGTGAACAGATTGCAAATGAAATAAGATGAGAAAATAAATACAGAGCAATAAAACAGAATCGACTCTAAAATGCAGATAGTAAATGCTAATTAATGTGAAACATATTGCCAAAATTTGTGCAGTGGGTTCGTCACTTGTAAATGCAATGATCTTGGGCAGATGATGAAACTTCTCTGCCTCAACACTGTCATCCGTAGAACAGAAAATATAATGTGACCAACTTCATAGTATGATTGTATTAAATAAATTAATACATGTAAAGCTCTTAGAACAGTGTCTTGCATCCATTACATTCTCATATTAGTATTTTCCACTAAGATCATTTTTATTATGCTAATGTTTTAAAAAAAACATTCTTGATTATTAAAATGCTCTGGGAGTTTTAAGGTTGTTTAATCACATAAAAAATTGGTTCTCAGATGCCTAAATCTGCTCTAATGCTATTGCATCCTATCAAGCACACAGTACTTGATTAAGATGCGTTATAAAACGGATTTTACAGACTAATATGTATTTGTCTATCGCTCTGTGCCAAAAAAGTGTGTATCTGACACTTATGTGATAGAATTAATTATCTAAATTAGCTTTTGCATAAACCCACTATCATTTAGTACTCACCAAAGGGCAATTTATTGCTCTGTGATAAAGGATTCCACTGATCTTAAGAAATGAATTCACAGTTTTAATATACTTTGCCTATTGACTGGTTTTATTTTTCTCAGGGAGAGGCACATATACTCTCATCTCCCCACTGAAAATGTTGAGAAACTTCATTTATTATTGGCCAGTTAGGCATTTCCTTTTGTGAAGTGCCTGATTACATTTTTGTTCATGTTTCTATTGGCTTGTCGGTCTCTACATTGTTGTTGTTGTTTTTTTTTTTTTTTTTTTTTAGTGTGCTGCCATTTAATGATGGGAAAAATCAAACAAAAGAATATGTTATTAATCACATAGACCACATCAGGAAAGACTGTATGAAAAAGTAAGGACAAAATTATCTCCAGGGAATATTTTTTATGTATAGGAATCTGTCTCCCTAGGTAGTATGTATGTCTGTTTTGCTGTCTGTCTATATGTCTATCCTATATTATCTTTTTTCATGTGTATACATTGAAAATATCTTTTCCCATATAATAGCTTTTTATTCACTCATGTAACGGTTTGTTTTAAAGGAAAAAAAAGCTCTTAATATTTTTCAGTTTATCATTTGTTTTTACTTTTAGGTAAGTATTTTTTATAATATTTAAGAAATGGTTGTCTCCCTCAATGTCATGAAGTGTGTCTGTGTTATCTTCAAGAAACTGTAGACTTACATTTTATATTTAGATCTATAGTTCATCCTAAATTGATTTTTGTGTATGGTGTGACTGTAAAAGAGGCATTTATCTATGTACACACACATACATATATAAAAACTACATTATACTTCCATTTAAACATCAAATTTCCACAGCATCATCAAATTTCCACAGCAACATAAAATATAATGCTATCTCCTTTGTACTTATGTATCTCCTCTGTCATAAACTGACTGTATTTAAAGGGTCTGTTTCTAGATATTATTATGTTCCATTTGGTAGCATGTCTAGTTTGTGTTACTACCACATTATATTAACAACTATAGCTTTAAAAATCTTGTATCCGTACTGTCATGCGGGCAGATTCATTCTTCTTTATTATTGTCATAACTATTTTTACCTTTAAATTTGCATATGGTTTTAAATATCCATTTGTCATTTCCAGCCAAAAACTACATGCTATAAATCTAACTGTAAGTGCATTAAATGCATGGAAGGATTTTGGAAGCTGCACCACATTAAAAACGTTGAATCCTGCTGGGCTGAATCCATGCCTATAATCCCAGCACTTTGTGAGGCCAAGGAGGGAGGCCAGGAATTTGAGACCAGCGTGGGCAATATAGTGAGATCTTGCCTCTACCAAAAAAAAAAAAAAAAATTGTTGGGCATGGTGGTACACACCTATAGTTCTAGTTACTTGGGAGGCCAGGGTGGGAGGATAACTTGAGCCCAGGAGGGTGAGGCTGCAGTGAGCCATGACTATACCTCTGCACTATAGCCTGGGCAACAGAACAAGACCATCTCTCAAAAAAAGTTAAATCTTCCAAACAATGAATATGATGTAGCCTTCCCTTAGGTAGTACTTCCTTTGCATTTTTTAATAGAGAGGTCTTACTCATCACTTATTAAATTCATTCCTAGCTGCTGATGCTTATTGTTGCAAGTATAAATTATACCAATTGTAATTTTCAATTTTTTTGCAGATATACTAAATTTCTAATTTTAATCATGTTATAATGAAAATATATTTATCTCTAACAGTTTATCCATAAAATTTTTTGGATTACTACACACACCATCAACTTTCCATGAACAATGCCAGTTTATTTTCTTACATTCTAATCATTATAAATTTAATTATTTTCACCATCATATTGTTCTGACCAGGCTGTCCACTGAAATGTGAAATGAAGACAATTACAGCCTTTCCTCATTCCCTATCTTTAGGGAAGTGCTCTTACTAATTCATCAAGCATAATGATTTCTGAATAATTTTTGTACATAATCCTATTCACATTAATGAAGTGCCTATTCCTGGTTTTTTATAGTTTCATTATTATTTTTTGTAAAACAAATGGTTGTTATTGAATGTTTAATTCAGTCAAATCCCTTGTGTCTAATGTTTTAGACCATAGTTGTTAGATTTAACCAGTTTAGCAATATTTGTCTTAAAGTATTTTGTCTATTTCCATTTGAAATGAGTTCTATATTGTGGTTATATCTTATCTATTTGTTTTCTATTTGATACACCTGCTATCTATGTATTTTGTCTCTTTTTGTTTCCTCTTTTGATTTAATCAAATATATTTATTTCCTTCCTCTATTAATAGGCTGATTAAACATTCCTGTACCTTTTTTGGTCCAGAAGTTAAACTAGATATTGCATCACATATTCCTGAATAATTAGAACCTAATAGAAATCATTACTTTAACAACTCCTTGATTTTTCTATAACCTTAGAATTCTCAATGCTTTCTCTGGTGTCATTACTCTGCATTTTAATCATATGTAAATATTTAAAGCTAAAGGCATTCATTATCTTATAATTATCACTATTCTTTTGAATTGATATTTACTTAATTTTATCCATATATTTAACCTTTTGGATATTTGATGGGTTTGTCTAAAATACTTTTCCTTTTTTTCCAAAGAATCATTTTAGTATTTCTTTTAGTATTGGTGTATTAGCAAAGAATTCTTTGTTTTTGTTGTCAATTTTTTCTCCAAGTCCTTTAAAGATCTTTTTCCATTAATTTTGAGCTGCCATTATTGCTATTAAAAATTTATTTGTTGTGGCTGAGTGCGGCGGCTCATGCCTGTAATCCTAGTACTTTCAGAGGCCAAAGTAGGTGGATCACCTGAGGTCAGGAGTTCGAGATCAGTATGACCAACATGGTAAAACCCGGTCTCTATGAAAAATACCAAATTAGCCTGGTGTGGTGGCAGGTGCCTGTAATCCCAGCTACTTGGGAGGCTGATTCAGAAGAATCGCTTGAACTTGGGAGGTGGAAGTTGCAGCAGGCTGAGATCATGCCAGTGCATGCCAGCCTGGGCAACAAGAGTAAAAGTCTGTCTCAAAAAAAAAAAATTAGTTTATCATTATTATTATTGCTTTGAAGGAAATGATTTTTTTTCTGGCTGCTGCTTTTGCTTTAAGTTGTTGGTTGTGTTTATCCTGATACGCCTCAGTGTGGTTTACTTTGTGCATATTCCAACTAAGATTTATTGAAGTTCTCAAATCTGTACTTGAATAACTTTCTTCAGCTCTGGAGAATTCTTGGTGACTTTCCTTATTTCTTCTGTCATATTATTTTCCTCTTTTCTCCTTTTAGAACTTAATTAACATATATTAATTTTTTTTCCTTGTATCTTATATAGCTCTTACACTCTCTTCTAAACAATCTATGGAATTTTTCTCTACAAGGATTCTGGATTTTTTTGACTTTCTCGTCTTCCAGTTTATTAATCAATTAGCCAACACTTCTATTTCATTTAATCTTCTATTAAAAACAACTATTAATTGAAATTAAGAAGGTTATCTACTTAGATTCTTAGAATCCCACCTTGTATTTCAAATAACGACAAAAAAAAAAAGGGAAAACCAACTGTGGGTCGTATTAATTATGCTTTGTAAATTTTTTGTATTTTCAATGTTTTCACATATTAGGGACTTGCTGATCCTGGGAGGACTGCTTGTCCTAAGACGTATCAATTCCCAAAGATACAAAGAACTCACATGCAAACTTGCTTTTCACAGGCAAACTAAACTAACCCAGAACCCATATCCCCGACCACATTTTAAAATCATGCTCTTACAGTCTGGGCCATGATTTCCTTGCCCTAATTACCCCAGAGCCAGATACTTGACAACTAGGAAGAGCTCCTATACAACGGAGCCTCCCAAAATTGCTCCAGCTAGCCAATTCCAAGCCTGCTTACACTACCTTGCCCATTTTTTTCCTGCAAAAAACAAAATAAAAGCTCTTACCTGCAGTTTCAGCACAGTCCATCTTCCTCCTGACCAACCTTGGTGCTTTTCCAGGTGCCTCCCGCATAGTGTCATGTCCCTTTCCCTTTGGATCTGGAGTTGTATAACCTTTGGCAGTTGTCTCCTGGTCTTTTGGTCTCATCATACCTGAGTAGATAAATAAAACTTGCGTTTTCATACATGCGTTGAAGTCATTTATTCACACATCACTTCACATTAGAATCCTAACCTCTGGAGACTCCAATTTCTCTGGCTCCACTCCTGCGAAAATAACAAAATCTCTGATTTTGTCTATGCCCTCTAGGAGCAGGCTTCTGTCAGAGTACTAAATACAAAATTTCATCCACTTGCTGTTTTCTCATATTTGGAAAATGTGTCAAGAAAACGGTAGCTAGAGAAATTTTGTCTACCTCTACAGTCACTTTCCAGCTCTGAAATATTCTGCATTGTCATCTAATTTTTCTTCATATACCTGAGTCAAGCATATAAGTCTATTACCATTTCTCCCATACATTTTAAATACTTGCCAACTGCATAATCCAGGGTGTCCTCTTTCATATAACCCCATTCCCATGTACCACATATGAAAATGTTAGTAAATCCAGCTTTTCGGGGTTCTTAGGACCCATGATTATCACTAGCATTGGGATTCTTGTTGCCGTCTGATAGGTGAGTAGTGCAACTTCTGGATCCTATTCTCAGGATATATTATCTAGTCCTGTTTCAGCTTTTAGTTTACAGTATATATTTTCTCCTAATACATGGTAATAGTTTGTTCCGTTTGCATTAATAATGGATGGTATCACAGTTTTTCAGTTAAGAGAAATATACAGATCCCTAATATTCACAGGTATGCATGAGAGATTAATATGGAAGTCTTGTACATCTCATTCTTATGACAGACTCCTGCAATTTTCTTTATCCCTGTGGCATCATGTTGATATTTTTACTTTGTGCAATTAATATTGAGATACATTTTGGCATTCTATCACAGTTCGCTGCATCAGGCAACTCATTAGCACTGGAAATTTGGTGTTCCTGAACATATTAGGTAGCCACTTTTAAATTATTATTTAAAATGTCTCCTTTTACAGACAGGAAATGTTATTCATTCCATGATACTCTGCATTGATTGCACATCTTAACTTAAAGGATGACATTCCCCTGATAGATTATGGAAATGGATCCTTGAAGTCTCAGTTTAAAAGCTAGGAAATGACACTCTGGTGTTTAGCCATTATTCTGCAAATGTAACCTATACTTGGAACCAAGAGACATTATATAATGCTGTGTTCCTGGTTGCTGGAATTCCAAGAAATTGCCCTTCTCAGAAAGATTTCCATTGATACACGTGGCTAATATATGCTTCTTGTCTCTACAGCTTAATGCCCTTCTGGCTTCGAATTTTTGGTCCCTGGTGGGAGATAATACCATGAGATGACATAATGTTTCACTAAACATAAAGCTGTAGCTGCTGTATCTGGGTCTTCCCATGTTAATAGGCTGGTAGGAAAACAAATGAGTTCTTTTACTGGAATAAATAATTTACTCAGTATGAGGGCATAAGTTTATAGTTCAATAATGGGACAAGGCTGAGTATTCTGGAACACAAAGGATTCACTGGGGTGAGTCTTGCTTCTTACATGACCACTGAAAATATAAACAGAAAATTGAGAAATTTTGCCCCCCAAAATCATGGTAACCAGGGATTCGGATCATCCAGGGAAGAAAATCTTAATTGTTAATTCACAAGTCAGACCTTTTAGATGAACTAAAATTCTGGCTAAGGTTGAGTAGAGAATGGGTGACATAAAAGGGGCATAAAGATTATTAGTTCTATTAAGGTTGCTATATTTGTTGCCCATAATATATTAATAATCATTAGTGGAAACAAATGCTTTTAAATTCAGAGAAAAAATGATACATAAGAACTGCAGAATGAGTATTATAATCACCTAATGAACTACAACATGCAAGACAGATGAAATGATTAACTCAGATGTGATTTACATCTCTATTAATGCTGCCACATAGTAAACATGATTTAAAATATCCAACAGCAGACACTTATTAAGCGTCAATGTTTCTGTCAGACACTTTGCTGGTTTTTGTAGACATAAAGGTAACTTACACATCATTTCTTCCATCATATCAGAAACTGTGGCTAAATTTTTTAATGAATTTTATCCTTGCTGTCACATTTATTGACAGTAATTTGAATGGCAAGGAAGTACAGAAAAGACTGTCACTACAATATTTACCTGGAACTCATGTCCTTTATGCTTTAGCAAAATGCATGATGAAAACATATTCAAGATATTTGACCATATAATTATTTCTCGTACAAACTGTTACAACTACTACACCTGAATCTGTCCCAGATATGAATGACTTTATCACTGAAGATAAACAGAAATATTTTGGTTTACAAATACTTCATATGTGAAATAAAATATATAAATAAAATGATTGTATCTAAACATTTTGGTTTCTCAAAACAAAGTCTGAGACAAAGATTTGACTACAGGTGGTTTATTTGCGATGCAATTTTAGAAGTAACATTAAGGGAGCAGAGAGAGGTATAAAGGGAAAAAGCAAAAGCACTTAAAGAGTATTTTATCGGCCGGGGCATGGTGGCTCATGCCTGTAATCCCAGCACTTTGGGAAACCGAGGCAGGTGGATCAACCAAGGTTGGGAGTTTGAGATCAGCCTGACCAACATGGAGAAACCCCATCTCTGCTAAAAATACAAAATTAGCCAGGCATGGTGGCACGTGCCTGTAGTCCCAGCTACTCGGGAGGGTGAGGCAAGGAGATCACTTGAACCTAGGAGGGCAGAGATTGCTGTGAGCCAAGATGCACCATTGCACTTCAGCCTGGGCAACAAGAGCAAAACTCTGTCAAAAGAAGAAAGAAAGAAATAGGAAAGAAAGAAAAAGAAAGAAACAAAGAGAAGGAAGGAAGGAAGGGAGGAAGGAAGGGAGGAAGGAAGGGAGGGAGGGAGGGAGGGAGAGAGAGAAAGAAAGAAAAAGAAAGAAAGAAAGAAAGAAAAAGAAAGAAAGAAAGAAAAAGAAAGAAAGAGAAAGAAAGAAAGAAAAGAAAGAAAGAAAGAAAGAAAGAAAGAGAGAAAGAGGAAGGAAGTTAGTTATCATGTTGACCATTTCTGTGAAAACTCATCCACTGGGGACCCTCCAAAACAGTGAATATGCACCCTAGAGTTTATCTTTGAAAAGTTTGTGGATGTTTCATTCATTCAGTATTTCCCATTCTTCATTATGGTTTGCTCTTTTGATTAACTTTCTCCTGGACTATGTATTTTATGTGTACTTCCAAACCTTGGGAAAGAATGTGAAGCAGAAAATCATTGGCATACACTGAATGTGGGACACCATCAGCATATACAGAGGTGTCTACCACAGTGTGTAAAACTGAGGAGGAGGCCAGGTGCGGTGGCTTACACCTGTAGTCCCAGCACATTTAGGGAGGTCAAGACAGGCAGATCACTTGAGCTCAGGAGTTCAAGACCAGCCTAGCCAACATGGTGAAACCCTGTCTCTACTAAAAACAAAAATACAAAAATTAGCTGGGTGTGGTGGCTCACGCCTGTAATCCCAGCACTTTGGGAGTCAAGGCAAGCAGATCACTTGAGCTCAGGAGTTCAAGACCAGCCTAGCCAACATGGTGAAACCCTGTCTCTACTAAAAACAAAAATACAAAAATTAGCTGGGTGTGGTGGCATGTACCTGTAATCCCAGCTACTTGGGAGGCTAAAGCAGGAGAATCACTTGACCCTGGGAGATGGAGGTTGCAGTGAGCCAAGATCACACCACTGCACTCCAGCCTGGGCAACAGAGAGAGACTCCGTTTCAAAAAAAAAAAAAAGAGAGAGAGAGAAACCTGAGGAGGAAAAAGAAAATGACACAAAGTATAAGAACTATTTTCAACACATTGTTTATATTTTTAACTTTCACTGAAGTCTTACAGATGGATTTCATGCATTATTTGTTTACTTAATTTCTTCTTGGAAACCAATGATTCATTGGGTACGTACGTATAGTGTAGGGATTTCTTTATAGCTTAGTGAAGCTAATGCATTTTGTCCTCAATACTAATTAATACTTTATAAATATTATAACAAAATACCATTCAACTAACAAATTATATAATTATATAATTAATCAACTATATCACTCAGTTAACAAAAAACTATTATTTAACTAACTGTAACAAGATTAGTGGTTGTCTTGTGCCAGGTACGATTACAGATATTGGAGATATATGAGAAATCAAAATAATTACAAATCAAAAAGGTGTTTGCCTTTGAAGAGACAGAGTACAAACAGTTCCCGACATTGGATAGGTTGATTCATAAATTTTCATCTTTATAATTGTGTGAAAGTGATATGCATTAAGTAGAAATAGTACTTTGAATTTTGATTTCTTTCCAAACAAATGATATACTCTCTTGTCATGCTGGGCAGCATCAATAAGCCACAACTCCTAGTCAGCCACATAATCACAAGGGTAAACAACTGAGCCTTTACAGAGTACTGTGTTGCCAGCTGATTTTGCCCAATGTTAGGCTGTCAGTGTTCTGGACACATTCAAGGTAGGCTAGGCTATGATGTGATGTTCGGTAGGTTAGGTGTTTTAAACGTATTTTAAACTTATGATATTTTCAACTTACTATGGGTTTATGGGGATGTAAAGTGTAAGTCCAGGAGCATCTGCATATGTATTTTTCTCTATCCTGCTATTAAAAGCTAAAACCCCTTTGATCATATATAAATCCAACATAAGAGACTCCTGCAGGTAAGCAGAAGAAGGTAGACTTGCTATGGACTTCAAGGCCCAAGACACAACACCATGGTGAATTCTCTAGGATTTATTTTTGATTCATATGTCCCAAACTTGGAGTCAAAAAAATTGAAAGCCCAGAATCACCAACAGGCAAAGACAAGAAGACAAAAATCCCAGCTTTCTCTAGAGAAAGGGCAGGCTATGAAGGCCACAAACTTTTAGTCAATAATCTCACTACTACAGCCTCATGCCACAGAAAAAAACATGAGCCCACCCCTTTCCCTGCCTACACTGCTAAAGGTTGCATGGGGATGTTACACATCCACATTTTAGAGGCTGTGACAAGGTGCTCTAACCCCAATAGAAGATTCTCAGAGAAAGCCAAGTAGAAAGCCAGGACTTACATTGCTACTGACAAATAGTGAGCCAGCAACCCCATTCCCCATGTTAGTTGGCACAACTGACACGAGCTTCTACCTTCGCTCAGCAGCAATGAGAATCTCTCAACTCTTTCTGAAAGGGTACTGACAGCACAGGCCAGGGGGACAGTTAATATTTTCACCACTGACAGTAAACAGGCCACCCCAACCACACTGTTAGTGGAAGCTTTGTGGTGAGTAGGAACTTCTACTCCCACCTAGTACTAAGGAGGAGACCCCTCTCCCCTTCATGTGATTGCAGCAGCCAGTGGAGAAGATGGACTTCTACCTCTAGCTGGTGGTAACAAGGTGGCACCCCCAGCTTCATATGCAAGAATGGTGTCATAGAAAGTCATATCACAAGAAGAGCCACTGAAGAGATAGAGAAAACAGTCCTGAATCTCTGACACCACCCCTCTCCCACCCCCAGTAGCAGCAGCATGGTACGAAGAGTGGCTCTGTACACTGAGGAGAGAGGCAGAACACAGCAGTTGTGAGGCATTGAACTCAGTGCTGTCCTGTTAGAAAGAAAGGAAAATCAGACCATTCTCAGCTGATGCCCACCCACAGTGCGGGTATTTAAAACAGCCCTAGCCAGGGGAACCACTTATCCCAGCAGTCTGAACTCTCACAGTACCTGTACCAGCACCTGGAGCTGCCCACCCCACCACAGCAGCCAGCATGCCTTTCTATGCACAGAGGGTGGACCCCGCACTCACTTGTTCATACACCCCTTGCTGTTCCATGCCTGTCTTGCCCTTAGCATGTGTGGAATACAGGCCAGTAGGTAGTGCAAACCAATCACAGCCTGCCAGGATGAGTGGGTGGAACGAGTAGATGCAAGCAAAGCTGAAGCGGAGGGGCCAGCAGCCACCAGCCACAGAGGTTTCCAGCTGGTGAAGTGATACCCAAAGAATCCTGTGACAAAACTATATTATAAGGCTACGGTAACCAAAATAGCATGGTACTGGTACAAAAACAGGCACATAGACCAGTAGAACAGAGTAGAGAGACCAGAAATTTTTTTTTTTCTCTACAGTCTGATAAAGAATTAAAAAACTGAAAAAGGGGGGAATAGAGAATATAGAGGCGACCTAAAGATGTCAACCATATTCTATGGCGGAAAAATATCAGGAAAAAAGTGTTAATTCTAGCAGAGTAGAATAGCAATTATTCATGGGGGAGGCATTTAAATTGAATCAGTTTAAAGCATATTAAATGCAGAAGAAATTTTGCAGAGACAGAGTGGGAAACATAATTATTTTCCAGAGTAAATTTGGCTAATATTAATTTTGTCATACATTTTTGTCAGTTTTGACATTTTAACTATGAAATTAGTGTGTGGATAAGATAAATTAGGTAGAAATAATGACAATTGCAAAAAATATTACTTTGATGAGTTGCTGGGTTTGAGAAGAAATTTTAAAATCTTCACCGAAAAATAACTATTATATTTTATGTGTGTGTGTATATATATATTTTTCTTCAATCTTACTTTCTAAAATGTTTACCTTGGATAGCAAAATTATAATTCATAGATATTTTATGTGTTCAGGAAATTTATAAAATATACAAATTGTTGAGAATACTCAAAAAGAAATTGTGGAAAAAAGGATCTAACAAATGCAAATGCAACCCTTCTAAAAGAGTGGAGGTCTCCTGACAATATTCTCTGTGACCTATGACGTGGGATAAGAGGAGTGGACCAACATTCTGTTTCTGACTGATTAGGAGGCAACACACGTACCAGTAAAATTTCTAACTTACATTGGGTCTTCATCTTCCATCTATCAAGGCATAAGTTTATCCATGTATAAGGCTGGCTGCAAAATTTTTCACAAAGTATATTCTATGAGTCCACACAACAGACCCCCTTCTTACTTCTATTGTTCAAAGAGGCATAAGCAAAGAAAAAAATTGAAAGATAAGAGTCTCATGATAGTAGAAAAGTCTTGATCCGTGATCTTGGGATAAAGCTGTCCACATCAAGGATGCCATGTTCTTCTGGGGAGAAACTTCTCTGGTTAGTTTTATTTTAAGGGTTTGAATGGGTGTACAGTTCCAAGAGTATAGAGGGACCCTTCTGAGTTGTGAGATTATGAACCCTCGGTTCAAGGTCCCAAAGTTATGCTACAATGTGGATAGCAAGGGCAGCTTTTCTCTGATGCTCTCGGAAGATCCAGTCTTTGGGTTCTAGATTGTGAAGGGGTTGATTGTCCCCAGTCAGTGAACCATGAAGAGCTTTCTTACCTTGTGAAAATACACTGTGGCATAATGAGCTACTGTTATAACATCAGCCTTCTTACATGAGAAACTTTTATACGACTAGAAAACATGCAATGAGATGACAAGTGATTAAATCCTTCTATAAATATTTAAATGGCCCATCAGGCAGTGAAATGTACCTAAAGTTTTGAATGTCTTCCCGGGAATGTGAGTTTGACAAACCAAACATTTTGGTCATAAACTATTTTAGCAATTTAGAAGACCATACACACACACACACACACACACATTTATCAGAATCATTTTATCTTTTCCATGATGAGTCATGGAATGTAGACCATTTAATAACAAAAGCTTTAAGGACTCAAGAAGGACAAGCTTCCTGCCCTAGCTCTCCATGAGTTCATGCTTATTCAAATTATGTCCTCTTGAATACCAGGTGTTTCCCCAATTTAAGTGCACAGCACTGATAAATGATGGATTATCATGGGTAATTTTACCTAGACAATGAAGTTTATTCAAATTGTCTATCTAAGCAACTTCTGTACTGGCTGATTTAGATAAACCAGTCTTTTTATTAAAGTTTCAGAGATTTCTTACCCAGTCCAAATGATATGATTCGAAAGTTATTCAGAAACCTGTATTCAAGAGTACTTCTCAGGTTTCTTTTCATCCTATCATGAACCTCCTGAAAGACAACATATTCTAGGATTATACATACTTGTGAAGTTTTCAGAAACTGCATCAGAATTAAGCAATTAACTGTGAAAATGGCTTTGAATAGCCATAATTAATGACACAATTGACAAGGAAAGTTGGTTATTTCTGTGGTCTACAATGACAAAACATTATACACATTAAGATTTTAGAAATCCCATACAATTTTGGGACATATATGAATAACATTCATTAAAATATAACCTGAAGAAGGTTAAATATTATTTCTTATTTGACAATCCTTCCCTTGTAACATAACATGTAAAATGATCCCATTTACTTCTCCTTCAGATGCTTCAGGTGGCCTCTGGAGCACCCCAAAGTGGGAGGCAAAAAAAGATGTAATTTTGAAGTTGAAATTTGATTTGGGGAAGCCTGTCAAATATATCAAAGGTTTAAAGCACTTGACCAAAATAGGAACAGAGGTCACCATAAGACAACAGTGATACATTTATCAAAGTAATAATTAAAAGATTTTTAAGAACAAAACCTGTTTGTCTTTGGTCAAGAGGACTCAGTTTTCTAAACAATCAAAAGACATAAGACAGCATGAGACAGAATCTCTCTGTTCTTATTTACTCTTTTTTTTCCTCAGTTTACTCAAAAGGTGAATGAAAATATTATACTGGCAGGCTAATGCTACACAAAATTCTTGTTAAAAAGGGAAAACCTATTAGTGTATTATCAATATGAAAACTGATTTTAACAAAACCTCATAAATACATTTATCAAATCTGTCATTTTTTAATCACACATTTCTGTAAACCTTTTATTTTACATTTTTCCCCAACTTTCGCCATTCATCTTTTTTATCTGTTTTTTGTTTCTTCAATTTGACATCTTTAAGTAACTTCAAACCAAACAAAATTTTTTAACACACATTTTTATGCCTTTATAACTTTCCTCATCAAACACATATTTTGTTTTGCTTACACACTCTGAAAAAAGAATTGTTTCTCTCAAATCTAGTAGTTTTTAACTCTTAGTAACCATAATTTCCACTGATAATCCTGGAAAGTAATTTTGAACTGTTTTATATCAGTATCTGTAGATTTAAAAATATTTTGTAAGTTTTTAGAAAGATAGTTATCCAAATTATTATTTATTAACAGTCTAAACACACTTAGCTTTTCTATACTGAAGCAGCTACGTTTTCTGGGGTATATATCCTGTGTTTCATTGCCATGTGCTGAGAAAGAATTCAGGACACGGATGCATGTGGGTGGGTTAAGGAGTAGAAAGTTTAATAAACAACAGAAAGGAGAGAGGAGAGTAGCTCGTAGTGAGAGAGAGGAGAGAGAGAGAGAGGAAGAGAGGAAGAGAGAGAGAGAAACATCTGAAAAGAGTGCGTTGCTGGGGTCAGCGGACTGCAGCAGACATTATAGGCAGGTTGGAGAATTCAGTGTCTGATTTACATAGGGCTCACAGATTGGTTCAATCAGGTATGACATCTACACAGTGCACGGAGGAGATGGTGGAGGAGAGGAAACTGGGGGTCCAACCAAAATCTAATTATGCAAATAGTGCAAATGGGCTTTCCAGTTGATCGGAGTCATCTTGTCTGCTTCTCACTGTACACATGGCTGACAAAGAGAAGGGAAGATGGAGCCACCATTTTGAGCATGATTGGCACAACTGCTGGCACTATGTCTGCAGCTCGATTTTACAGGCTGCTCTTCATTAGAAAGGAAAATAATTTGGGACTGCTTTTCATTAAAATGAAAAGCCTTACTGAGAACTCCCATGGCCTTGCTATCTGCCTAAGTAATTCCTTCTTAACTCCTATATCAATACCATATAAAAACAACATGTCAAGTTATAGAGACTTAAATGTATATTTATTAATGAATATCTCAGTATATTAGCTTACAGATGACTCAGACATTTTATGATTATCTGTTACTGAATTTAACAAAATATGACTCTAAGATTTTAAATTACTGAAAAGAACTTTATGATACTATGACACAGGTAGCCTCCCCAATGACTACCCCCAGTCATTCTAGGTCCCAAGTAGCCATGTGACATCCATGAGGACTAGGAAGGTCAAACCTTGTCTGAGTCCATCAGGAGAGGAAACAGTTGTTAAGACCATACCTGGAGAAACCAACCCTTCCTAAAATATGCAGGAAGCAAGACAGGGAAAACAGAGGAAGAAGGGACCACACTGAGCTTGATTGTGGCTTGTAGCCCCTGATATAGGCACTAAAACATGTCTCCAGACTTTATCATTGTCACCTATCCAGACCGATGAATCCAGAGACTAGGTCTAAATCAAGACATAAGCTCACAGTTAAATCAAGCATGCATCTAATTATATTCAACTGATAATTTTGAAACCACTTATATTTTACCAACAGCTTAAAACTAGCTTTATTTACCAAATATCACATACACATATACAGATACAAACACACAGAAACAGATCATACAGCTTTCATAAAGGATTTTCATTTGCTGGCTTTTAAACAGCTTTTCTTTTCCCCATTGAGTCTTCCAATCATCCAGTTACCTGTTTCATTACCCTAAGCAATTGTGTACTAGGCAAGAAATTTGCATTTCTAAAGGGACAACTATTAGGTGGAACAGAAACATTTAAATTTCGTAAGTACAGAGCTAAGATTTTAGGCCTAAATACTGTATCATCATTTTCTCAAACTAAGTAAAAAAAAAAACAAACTGCTCAAATGAAAGTTCACTTAAGACAGGATGGCCAGAAAAGCACCTTAAACAAAGGTATGACTTCTTATGTAAATTTAAAAGATGGTAAGAGTTTCTAACATACATAGGCAGACATCCTTAAAATTGGAGATTTCCTTTATAGATGTAAATTTTATTTATAAAAGAGTTTCGAGATAGCCAATTAAATCTCAGAAAGGTATATTTTAGTTTAATATGGTGTACTTTTTAATTTAGCTACTGCTCTTTAACTAAAATTACCTGAGTTAAGGGTGGAGTATATTAAGGAATAAGGCCAGAAAGCATTCTATATGCCTGGATTCAGCATGAGTAGATCAGAAAAACAAAGCAAGCCTATTTTACCTTAAGGTCTACCTTTTATAAACACCTTATCTAGGATAGCTTTTTTTCCACCCTTGAGATGGGTTAGTAACTAAGACAAAAGGTTAGCAGATTTAATTTTTCTTATCTATTAGTCACTTAAACTTTTTATTTGCCTTTTACAAATTATCCAAATAAAAACATTGAAATCTTTTTAGAAGTTTCTGCTGCAGTGTTGTTTGCTTGGAGCATTCCACTGTAACTTGTCTTTAGTAAGATTCTGCCATGTCTGTAAGACATTGCTGCTTCCAGGATCTAATATTTATGCATGTGTAAGCCAGAAGGAACTCAGTTCTTAAGTAATTAAAGATCCTATTTCTACTTCAAATATTGGCTTTGGCTCTCAGTTTCTTTTGATCAACTTAGCTAATGATTTTTTTCTCCACCTAAGCATGCCAGAAAAATGAAACAAAGGCATAGAACATAAAAATTCCTGTGAGTTTACAAAAGCCAAATTTTACACCCCCTGCAATATTGCCATTTACTACCTGGTTCTTTCTGATCCAATCAGATATAAGATATCTCTAACTGGATTCGAGCCAGTTAATTATCAGATCTAATTCAATCCTGGACCCGGTCCAATTTCTGTTATGACTTCCAAACCCAGTTTGGATCATACATTTGCTCAAGGCAACTCAGACAGCTCAAAGCACAAATCTGTGGAGCTTCAGTATCCAAAAGAAAACTTACCATGATCGCCAGCTGCTCTGAGAGAGCAACAGACAGAATAGGCCTGGCGGGTACCTTGCTTGGTCACTCAGTGCTCATGGGGGTTGTTAGAAGCTCTACTTTAGACCCCACTTCTGATGCCATCTGTTAAAAGAAAAACATTAGCTGAATTAGGTTTAACAGAGTTTAATTGAGCAAAGAACGATTCATGAATTGGGCAGCCTCCAGAGCCAGAGTAGGTTCAGAGACTCCAGCATGGCCATATGGTAGAAGATTTGTGGACAGAAAAAGGATAGAGACATACAGACAATGGTAGTGAGGTAAGCAAACAGCCCAATTGGTTACAGCTTGGCATTTTCCTTATTTGAACACGGTTTGAACAATTGGCCACCTTTGACCCAAACTTGGTAATTGGCACAAGAGTAGACTACGGTTTGTGTACAACTCCATTTAGGTTATAGTTGATGATGTACAGATAAACCTTTAGGGTGAACTTAAAATATGTAAGAAGATAGCTTTAGGCTAAACTTGATTTAACAATATTTACCAAGGAAAATCTACAGTAGATCAAACTTAATATATTTAATATATATGTCTTCTTTTATTATTTCGTTGGCATATGTATGAATTTTCAGGATTTTTTTTGTGTTGAGGCACTGATTATATAGAGACAGCAGTAGAAGAAGATAACAAAACTTTCTGAGGGAAAGATCATTTTTAAATTATTAACAGGACCAATAGTATTTAGTGGTAATAATGTCTTTTTTCCAAATAATATATTACATATTTGTCAAAAAATGAATTTGGATCATATATTTTATATCTTTTTCTGCTCTAAAAGGCTGTAATATTTTTTTAATTATTATTAAAATTTTTTTGAATGTGTAAAATCAACTATTGCTACAGATTGATACTGTCACAGTTTGGTAAATATACATAAACTTATGTATTCTGACCTCTGTATAAGCATGTAATTATCCAATTAGAAAGTGCTAGAGTTCATTAACAATGCAAAACCCCATGGCTTTATGCTTTATTAAAAACCTGCTTTGTTTTTTAAAAGGTTGATTCAAATGCCATCAGAACCTGTTTTAAAATGGTTAGAAATGCTAGTGTCATTTTAAATCTAAATCCAAAAGAAAATTGATTTAGCATTGATAATTTAACATGTTCAAACCATGAGATATTTGTCAAAAATATGTTTGCTATACAGTTCATTATCTTGCAGGAGATATCTGATCATAAAAAAGATGTTCACGTTTTTGGTGACAAATGTTTTGGCAAAATTGGAGATTTGGGGGGTGGGGAGAAGAAAATATCCAAGTATTAAGTGTTAAGGAGAGAGAAACAAAATTATGAAAGTAATTCAAACCACAGAGAACTTGTAATAGTTGCTCAGAAGAAATAATTATTTCCTTATGCCGTTTGCTAAGAAATAGAGGATATGTAAAATTATATTTAACTGATGATGTAAATAGAGAAATAATGAGTGAGTATTGAATGGCTAAGGCCAAGGTAAGTATACTGTATCAGTTTGGGTTTGGTCAGGAGAAGGAACTACCTTAGATAATAGAAGTAGGAAAATAGAGGCTTACATACCACTGAAAGGAATGTTACAAAATTCAGGAGAGAAGAAAATGGTAGGAGACAAATGCAGATCATCTCAACTGCCAGCCATTCAGAGAATAATGCCTAGAAGCTATTGGCAATCCTTTCATTGCCAAAGCCCACATATATGCCTGTAGCCTATAACAAGTTCTCTTTGTCTGCCTCTGAAAATTTTCATCACTCACATTGATGGAATTTAAATGGGACCCTGTTGGCAAAGGACAGATAGTAAATATTTAAGATAAAAATATACAACAATAAGTTATGATTTGACACAAAGATAAATGATATCTAGATAAATATTATTAATCCATTTGTTATCAAATGCCTACATCAGGAATTGGATGTCATACATGATAAACTATCATAATTTCTAAATTCAAAACTTTACTCATATGAAAACTTGAGTGATGTTTTATGCCAGACTATAAAATTTATAATGGGAAATATGAAATATGATTAATTAGAATATATATTCAGAAACCTAGAAATAGGAGTACATTTTTTTTTACTTAACTATAGTTACAAATAATTTTAACCAAGACAAAGTTTTATACACAATATACATAATTTTTCTCTAGAACAAACATGACAACCAGATTCTAGTTGATACATTTACTGATTATTATATATAGTCAACGTTCTCATACATTCCCTGACTTAATAGGTCAATGAGTGACAGAGTGACAGCCATGTGGTACAATATTTTAAACAGTCTTGTGGAAACTATGTAATTTTTGTCCTTTAGAAGGTGGCTTTTTAGTTCAACTGAATCAGGAACACTACGAACAAAAAACCTGACAATCTGCTTCACCCCCAAGATAGAGACAGGATGGCACAAACACCAATGCTACTCCCTGTGGAAGCCCAAAAGCCAGCAAAGGATTCCAAGTAATCACCTTCTCACAGTCCCTGAGATCCCTGAACTCCAGTTGAGAGTGGTTTCTCTCTGCCCCCAAGCGTGCAGATGTGTAACAAAGCTCCTTCAAGGGTAACTACCTGCACACAGAAAGCTCTCATGCAAGCGACTAGTTGATTAATTACAAAAGCTGGAGTTTCCTGGAGGAAGTCACACAGCACATTGAATGGAAAAGAACTTTCAGTCCAATATAACCCTATTTGACAGTTGCTACTCTTCCACCTTTACACTTTAATACTTTGGCTCCTCTTTGGTCTTTTTTTTTTTTTTTTTTTTTTTTTTTTTGATGTGGAGTCTCCCTCTGTTACCCAGGCTGAAGTGCAGTGGTGATTGGCTCACTGCAACCTCCGCCTCCTGGGTTCAGGCATTTCTCCTGCCTCAGCCTCCTGAGTAGCTGGGACTACAGGCACGCGCCACCACACCAGGCTAAGTATTGTATTTTTAGTAGAGACGGGGTTTCACCATATTGGCCAGGCTGATCTCGAACTCCTGACCTCTAGTGATTGGCCTACCAAGGCCTCCCAAAGTGTTGGGTTTACAGGCATGAGCCACCGCATCCAGGTTCTTTTGGTCTTTACATCAAACAGAAATAGACTCCAACAAACTTGCTGGCTCGTCTCTTCACTCCATCCTTCACTCTGACATAGCCCATGAAATTGCACATTTTTCTCTCTACTTTGTAAAACAATGTAGTCCTCCTCTACTCTTATTCCCAAACTTGAAGAATGAACTTGTCCTATCAAGTTCCCCTAGTAGATCAAGAAATTTATTCAGCCTTTTTATAAAAGAATTATCATAATAAATAGTAAAATTCAATTTTCTGCATGATCTACTCTTTTGGCAACCTCATGCAACAACCAAAGGCAGTGTTCCTGAACTAATTACATAATCTAGAGTTTGTGAAAGAAAATTAAATCTTAGGACCCCAAATTCATTAAGCCAAAGGGAAAAGTCAAGCTGGGAACTGGCTCACACAAACCTAACTCCCCCTTTTTTGTTTCTAAATAAGATGGCTACAAGATGAAAAGCTCCATGCCTCCCGCATGTTTTGCCCACAAGGAAATTTTTAGCGAGCTGCAAGATCTTTACTCTAAAGTATTTCTATTAAAATTTCACCGTGGCAATGTAAATTTCTAGTTTATCTTTACGGGAGCAGTCACCCCTCTGCCCACCAGACACAAACACATATCCGATTGTTTCCCTGCCCCATTTTGTCTATGTTGTCTTACGTAAAATACACATTCCCCACATTTTTCTGCTGCCTCATTTGTCTATGTCATCTCTGATGGTTAATACTGAGTTTCAACTTGATTGGATTGAAGGATGCGAAATATTGGTCCTAGGTGCGTCTGTGAGGGTGTTGCCAAAGGAGATTAACCTTTCCGTCAGCAGGCTGGGAAAGGCAGACCCATCCTTAATCTGGGTGGGCACAATCTAATCAGCTGCCAGGGTGGCCAGAATAGAAAACAGGCAGAAAAACGTGAAAAGGCTAGTCTGTCTTAGCCTCCCAGCCTACATTTTTCTCTCGTGCTGGATGCTTCCTGCCCTTGAACATTGGACTCCCAAGTTCTTCAGCTTCGGGACTCGGACTGGCATCCTTGCTCCTCAGCTTGCAGATGGCCTATGGTGGGACTTTGTGATCTTGTGAGTTAATACTACTTAATAAACTCCCATATATATATATAACTTAAACTCCACACATGTTAATTTATTAAGATTTTATATGTGTGTGTGTGTGTGTATACATATATATACACATATATATTTGTTCTGTCCCTCTAGAGAACCTTAATACATCATTTTATATAAAAAGTTTCAGATTCACTGAGCCAGACAAAGGCACGAATGACTATTTTTTTTTTCTACCTCCATCTTACATGAAAATTGTGTACTTCTCAATATCTTGCCCTTTCCCCTTTAAATTTGGAGCCCTCAAAATCATCTTCGGAGAAAGGCATAGATCTATCTAGAGGGAATGCATCCTTAACTTTGGCAAACAAACCTCCTAAAATGATTAAGACTTGTCATTTTTCTCGATTGACAAGTTCCACTTTTAACGCTCAACGGACCCCTCTTAAAATTATATATATTAATTTTTTATAAGTCTGGTGCTTTTTAATTTTTTTATGAGAAACTAAGAAAGATATATCAGGTAAAGAATACAAAACACATATCAGTTGCAGAAGAGTTATAGAATATAGAATAGTCATAGAATAGAAAGATACATCAGTTATAGAATAGTTACAAGATACATCAATTCTAGAATAGAAAATCACTCTGGCTTAATAAGATGTGCTTTTGGTGAACTTTCTATGTCTTTAAACCTACGTTAAAATCTTAATAGTCTCCCTTACCAGTTAGAGGACCATGAAAAAATCTCTTTATATCTCCAGGATGCTGTTTTTCTTCTCACTTGCAAAATGAGAATAATAGTAGGACCTATTTTATAATGTTATTACATAAATTATAGCTTAAATATTTATGAAAGGCCTAGAACAACGTCAGACACACAAATGTGTCTATTTTAAAAAATAAAGATAGTTTTTATAAAATACTATTTAAAAAAATAAAAAGAAAGAATATAAAGATAAGAAAATAAAAAAAACACAGAATTTTTGAGGAATGAAATCAATGCATTATTTCTTAGAAAACATGGGTAGAGGCAGCCATGGTCAAAAACATGTTGAAAACACTACTGTGGAAATGAGAACTCCTTAGGAAAGCTCGAAGTTCAGAGCCTGTTGTTGACGTAATATTACTCGTATTGTTACTGCTATATTATTAATTGTAGTAGTGGTTGCTGTAGTCTTTATTTATATCTTGGAGGAAGACAAAAACTCATGTCTCAGTCTGCACTAGGCTGATTTTGTGTTGCTATTAAAAAAATACTTGAGACTGAATACTTTTAAAAGAAAAGAGGTTTAATTGGTTCTTCAGGCTGTACAGGAAGCATGCTTTTGGTGTCTGCTTCTGCTGAGGCCTCAGGAAGCTTACAATCATGGTGGAAGGCAAAGACGGAGCCAGTACAGTATGTGGCGAAAGCTGGACCAAGAGAGAGAGCAGGGAGATGCCATGCGCTTTTAAACAACCAGAACTTGCCTGAACTAACTGAGCAAGAACTCACTTATCACCATGGGAATGATGCTAAACCATTCACGAGGCATCCATCCCCATGATCTAATCACATCCCCACTTCCAACATTGGTGATTGCATTTCAACATGGGATCTGGAGGGGGCAAATACCCAAACCATATCACAGTCTTTCACTGTATTTACCAGTGACAAATATTTAGGTTTGCTGTAAATCTTACTGATTAATCAACTAGGGAAACACATTTGAGGTAAGGCAGATAACTGTGTTAGTTTCCTACCATACCAGCCTTACTACTTGAGCCAAATCTACTCTCCAGTCACATTTATGTCAACTCTCTCCAGTTTGTCCAAACACAGTGACTTGTCAGTGTGGCTTCCTAATTTTGATATTGTCCTCCTTTCCCTTGGTTGAGAAATACGCAAAGCAGTCCAGGAAACCTTTGGTTAAACTTGGCCTCGTTGATTCCTAATCTATACTCCAGCCTTACAGTGATATCCTCATTGAGGCATGGTTCAGCACCAAAGGTCACAGTAACTTTTACTTTAATTTTATCCTATTTTTTCTCATAATTTAAAAACAAAACAAAAAAATAGAACATATTAGAACTAAAAATTATACAGATACTTCTATTTTCCTTAATATGCATTATATAATGCATATTATATATATTTAATGAAGGAAATACATATAATGAAAAAAAGGTCTGATTTTTATTATAGTCCCGTCCCTAACAGAAAAATCTTTGTAACTTCAGGCAAATAATAAACTTCTCCAGACATTTTCCTCATCTGTAAAAACAGTAGTCACAAAGAAACGAGGATATTAGATTAGAGAATCTCCAATTTCTTTTCAGTAATGAAATTTAACAAATCTATTAAAAAGTTATCTAAAGTACTGTCTCAAATTGCCCCAGTGCTCTGTTTAATGAAAACATAAATCACATTGTTCTTAATTCACTCCACTTCATTTACTCCTATAACAATGAAGAGTTTAGATGTGATTACATTTTATGATTTGTTACAGTTTGACTTGATAGCTAGATCCCAGGTCAGAGACCTTGATTTAATTTATGCTTGTTAACACTGAAGTTTATTTATGGCACTGAATAAATGATAGTGTAACAACACATTTGAAAATATCTTCCTAAGAGACAAGAGTTATTGCATTAATTTGCATTTTTTCTTTCTAGAATTTAGATAAATGTAAGTATTTATGGAAATAACAAATGTTGCCTGTTGGCTCTAAGATCTCTCTTCTGTATGTAATACTCTGGTGTTAATCTTCATGTTATCTTTTTGCTGAGTTCTCTTCAAAAAGTTGTAGTGTAGTTAATGTGGCAGACATAAAAGCAATGTTGATTCAATTTGATTTTCTGTATTTTTTCCTGGTGATTTGCAAAAAGAAGAGCAAAACGAGTGAAAATCAAGCCAGATTCTAAAATTATGACAGTCTGTAAAGAAAATTAGTTATTAATTATGATGCAGGTTTACAGCAATATTTGTTTTGAATGAAATATATTTTCATGAAAATGTAAACCAGGAACGACACAAAAATAAAAACGTTACCAGTGGAAGAATTGGGTATGTGTTTGGTAAAGTTTATATTTTAACAAATCTTTGAGTAGGAAATATAAAGTGAAAAAAAGTCTGAAAGTGGTATTTATAACTACAAACAAACCCCAAAGCTTAATTTTTAATTCTCTCTCTTCCAAAAGTCTCAATTATATTCTCTCAGTTAGAATACAAATTAAAATATTTCTCTTTGTGAGAAACACAGTGTTTTGAAAGGAAATGAGCATTTTTAGTCTAACTACATGACAGTGGGTGCAATTCCTGGCTCTGCCAGCTACAAGCAGCCTGACTCTGTCCAAAACACTTGGCCACTTGTACTCACAGCTTCATGTATAAAATGTGAGCAACAGTGCTCACTGAGTGGGATTGTTGCAATGATATAACTGGTATCCTATCTGTAAAACACCTATAATAGAAACTGGCATATCAAATGTATATTCAGTGCTGATTCCTTACACCCTTTGCTTTTTACCATCAGTTCTCCTCTGATTCTAGCCTTTTGGGATATTGACTTGAAGATTCTAGAAACTTGTTATTTCCATTGTTTATTTCCATTGCTTCCATTTTGTGTTGCTATAAAAGAATACCTGAGTCTGGGTAATTTACAAAGAAAAGAGGTTTATTTGGCTCACAGTTCTGTGGACTGTACAAGGAGCATGGTGCCAGTTCTGCTTCTAGTGGGGCCTCAGGAAACTTTTACCCATGGTGGAAGGCAGAGAGGAGCCATTGTATTATATGTTGAGAGAGGAAGCACGAGAGAGTGAGAGAGGTCCCAGACTCTTTTTAACAACCAGATCTTGAGTGAACTCATTACTATGAACTTATTACCACTGAGAGAGCACTAGGCCATTCATGAGGAATTGCCCCCATGATCCAATTACCTCCAATTACCTCCTAGGCTGCACTTTCAACATTGGGGATTACATTTCAATATGAGATCTGGAGGATACAAACATCCAAACTATACTGATGCATCTGTTAAATATCATTTTACAAATTCAGACTATTTAACAGCAGGTCAAAGTACTGAAGTGAGAAAAGGAGAGTGGATAGCTGTATCTCTGATGTCCAAATAGATGGCACACAGAATCAGAGAAATGGTAACAGTAGTTGTTTAGGCTGTTAGGGTACTGTGAGTTATTGCTCTTTTCTATTTTAGTATCTCATTATTAAAGGAAACACAAGTTTTAATCCCTATCATACAGTGGGAAAGCCAGAAAAAGAAACCTATATGTAAGTACAAAGTGACTAAGATATATAAAAGTAGACAATTCAGTGCTAAAGTGAAATAAGTTTTGTCATAAAGATGAAAAATCTGAGAGATTATGGAATCGTTTATAAAAGCCTTCATAAAATAAAGAGGTTTGAGACAAATTTTAAAAAAAAGGGAAGGATCTTACCGTGTGGTCAAGAGTAGTGACAAAGTCATTCATAAGACTTCCTTGTTCTTAGGTTTCGAAATGTCCAGTGTTGTGGCAAGAAAATCCTTAGTGTGTCAGAGAACATTTGGTGCTGGGCTGCTGTCACATAAGCTAAACCTCACTATAAAATGGGAAAATAGGAAAAATTCACAGTATAATCATTTTATCAGATATACTCTGGGGAAAAAAAAAAAAAAACCTTCTACTTTCTCTTCATTGATTTTAGTTCACTATTGAGTCATAGTCTTGTTCAAAAATTGTTTCATTTCCTTTTGATTTCACTTATGTCATTTCTCATATTTAACGTTACCTTATATAAATAGCAGTTGCTGGCTATCAAATTAATGTGACAGTGTCCTCAGACATAACTGATTTTTCCGTGGCTATGATTAATACTGAATGATTCACTGATATTGAAAGTGGTAACCATTTATTAGCATTTTTCCTTTGAGATCAACTCCAAGGAGGTAAAAGCAAAGTAGCAGTTATCCTTCAACAGCTTTGCCCCGGAACCAACAGGCTAAATTGTAGTTTAAATTGTGATACAAATGGTATTTTTCTTGGCTACTGTCTATTCCATTCCTGCATTCTTTCAGTGGAGAGTTCCCTGTTCTAGCAGCCAATAGAATCAACACCATCGTTTCACCCTCTCTTCTTCTTCATCAAAATCTATTACTCTACGTCCACTTCCTCTGTGGGTCCACTCCATAAACGGCCAAGATTCAAGCTAAGGTGTCAAATCTAGGAATAAGATTCTTTCTTATTTTATTGAAGGACATTTCATTTACTCCAGAACTGCTGTGTGTTTCCTATTTTATTTCCATTTAGGAAACATTGATTGAACATGTAGAATGCATTGGAAACAAAACTGACTCAGGAGACATACAATAAATTTTACATTTTTCCTGGTTTCAAGAAGCATATAATACTGTAGGAGGAAGTATCTACAATAAATTTTACATTTTTCCTGGTTTCAAGAAGCATATAATACTGTAGGAGGAAGTATCTGTAACTTGATAAACTATATTATAAGAAGAAGAATGATAATAGTTATAAACAAAATATCATGGGGAAAGGGCTTTAAAAATGAATACAATATTTAAATATTTGCAACATATATTTTCACAATCTGTAATATGTATTTGTAATTTAAAAATATAAAACTAGTATTTGCAATAGTAATGATTTCTAACTATAATTTGCATTGCTAGATTCTATTATGAATTCTGATAGATTAAAAATCTCATTATATTTTTGAGACAATTCTCTAAAGGATGAATTACTCTATTTTGTTCCATCATTATAGTAAATTATATCAAACATTTTAAAAAGTCAAGTCATCTTTACATTTTTGTATTTTGGGAGATAATCATATGTGGTCAGAATGTATCACATATAAACACACACATTTTTACTGAAGTAAACTTACTAGTATTTTTTGTAAGAAATTTGAAGTTGTGTTAATTAAATCTTAGACATGTCTATTTTAGGAGTTCTTAAGGAACTGACTTTGGATTTTCTTAATCTTTATTGTACCTATGTCACCTGTTTACATTTGTGTATTACTACCATTCTTATACTTCAGGCTTAATCTGCTAGGCTTTTTCTACTTTTTTGAATTGGACATTTTTATAATTTTGCTAGTGCATACATGAGGTCATAGCAGTTATCAAAATATACATTTATATTCATGTACATCAAAGGCCACTATCGTAAGCTGCTACCCTTCAGTGATCCTGCAAGTCACTAGCCGTCCAGATCTCTTTCCTGGAACTTCTACTTGTCCAAACTTTCAGACACAGCCAGGATTTAGGTGAGACATGTCACATAATCCAACAAAATCAGTGACAAAGAACAAAATAATATTTCATGAAATATTTTTTAAAATAGAAATTAATACTGGGACAAGAGCCAAGATGGCTGACTGCATGCTGCTAAGAATAGCTTCTCCAACCTATTGAGAGACCAGACCATGAAGAAGACTGGCACACTCCAAGCAGATTTTCAGAAGCAAGGCATTGGGAATAAATAGAGGAAGGCCACAGATCCTGCCCTGAAAGGGGAGGAGGCTGGGAACTCTGCACAAGATTGCTGAGTGCCAGGATGTGCTTTGTGCCCTGGGCAGCTCCTAGGGAAAGTATGAGTCAAATAGGCGTGAGTGGCCAAATATCACCACAGACCTCTGGAATCCTAGCTGAAGGGGAACTGATGACCCACATGAACATTTGAGTTGGCAGAGAGAGCTGCTTAGAGAGTTGACAGGGACAGGACTCTAAGTGGTGTAGAGCCTACAGGGTTTGGCATGGAAATGGCAGCAGTGGCACATGGTTGGGGACACTCATACCCCAAGGCTCACCACGCTCCTCTAGGTGGCTTGGGCCTTTGTTGCCTGTAAGACATGGGTGGAACAGGACTGTCTGCTCATGGGATGGGGACAGTCTGATCTGACAGCCCCCTGTCTGCTGGCCTCTTCCAGTAGTGCAGTCTGAGATCTCCAACTGTGGCATTTCCCAGTGGCTACTGCCATAATATCTTCACTGGCAGATACCACCAAATCATCAGAGAGCTTCTGCAGATGAGCCACTCCCAGCATGCACCTGCTGACAGCACCCCACACTGCTTCACCAGTGTGCTTTTGCTCACAGCCTTCTTGTACCACTTCATTGGTGATTGAAAGCATAGGCCTCACTGCCACTTCCCCAGTGAAGTACTTTTGCCGGCATGACCCCTTAAGAGGGTTGTTACCAGTGGACTGGGAATACTTCAGCCCCTCTGGTGAAACAAGATCCCTGAGGAGTCAAAGAACAAAGCTGTGGGCCCGGTCCCAGTCCCCAGGGTTAGAGCATGCAGCCCAAGAGTGCTGATCTGAGCCTTGGCCCCCTGTGAAACTGTCCAGAAATGAATCCAGTCAACTGAATCCAATTTATACCACAATCAAATGCACAAGGGCATCACAGAATATAAAACCAATAAGCCCCATCCAAAGTATAGCAACTAGAAAGATTACAGGATCATTAGCCCACACAGATGATAAAGAACCAATGCAAGAACGCTGGCAACTTAAAAAACCAGAGTGTGTTCTTACCTCCAAATGATTGCACTACTTCCCCAGAAATAGTTCTCAAACACACTGAAATGACAGACAGAACATTCAGAATCTGGATGGAAATGAAAATCATCAAGATTCGAGAGAAACTTAAAACCCAATCCAAGAAATCTAAGGAAGCTAGGAAAACAATATAAGAGCTGAAAGACAAAATAGCCATTTTTAAGAAAGAACCTAAACTGATCTGTTAGAGCTGAAAACTCACTACAAGAATTTCATAATACAATCGTAAGTATAAAATCATAATAGAGGCCGGGCGCGGTGGCTCAAGCCTGTAATCCCAGCACTTTGGGAGGCCGAGGCGGGTGGATCACGAGGTCAGAGAGATCGAGACTATCCTGGCTAACATGGTGAAACCCGTCTCCTACTAAAAAAACAAAAAACTAGCCGGCGTGGTGGCGGCCGCCTATAGTCTCAGCTACTTGGGAGGCTGAGGCGGAGAATGGCGTGAAGAGCTTGCAGTGAGCCGAGATCACGCCACTGCACTCCAGCCTGGGAGCACAGTGAGACTCCATCTCAAAAAAAAAAAAAAAAAAAAAAAAATCATAATAGACCAAGCTGAGGAAAGACTCTCAGAACTCAAACATCAGTTCTTTGAGTAAACTCAGTCAGACCAAAATAAAGAAAAAATTTAAAAAGCAATAACAAAACCTTCAAGAAATATGAGATTATGTAAAGAAACAAAACCTACAACTCAGTGGCATCCCTGAAAGAGGAAAGAGAGCAATCAACTTGGAAACAATATTTGAGGATATTGTCCAAGAAAACTTCCCCAAACTCGCTAGAGAGGTCAACATTCAAATTGAAGAAAATCAGCCAAGCTCTGGGAGATACTACACAAAAATGACCATTCCCAAGACAAATAGTCATCAGATTCTTAAAGGTCAGTGAGTAAGAAAAAATATTTAAGGTAGCTAGAGAGAAGGGGAAAGGTTATCTACAAAGGGAACCCCATCAGGCTAACAGTGGGCCTTTCAGCAGTCTACAAGCCAGAAGAGAATGAGTGCCTATGTTCAACATCCTGAAAGAAAATAAATTTCAACCAAGAATTTCATATCCAGCCAAAATAAGCTTCATAAGTGAAGGAGAAATAAAATTGTTTTCAGAGAAGCAAATGCTAACAGAATTTGTTACCACCAGACCTGCTTCAGAAGAGGTCCTTAAGGGAATGGTAAACATGGAAACGAGACTATAGCCAGGCATGACAAAAATGCAATTTAGTACATAGACCATTGACATAGAGATAGTACACAGACCATCTCTTCTACTTTGTAGAATAGATAAAACTGGTGTTAATTTCACACAGCTCTTTATGAAACCATCTGGGCCCAAAGATTATGAAGCAACCATATAAACAAGTCTACATAACAACTGGCTAACAAGATAATGACAAGGTTAAATCTGCACACATCAGTATAAACCTTGAACATAAATGAGACAAATGCCCCATTTGAAAGACACAGACTGACACATTGGATAAAGAAGCAAAACCCAATGGTATGCTATCTTCAAAACACCCATCTCACATGCAATGATACTCATAGGCTCACAGCAAAGGCCAAAAAAGCAGGGTTGCTATCCTTATTTCAGACAAAGCATGCTTTAAATCAACAATGCTTTCCTTTTTGAATAAAGGGTTAAATTTAACAAGAAGACTTAACTATTCTAAATGTATGTGTACCCATCACTGGAACACTCATATTCATAAAACAAGTTTCTAGAGACCTATGCATACACTTAGATAACTGCTTAATAATAGTGGAAGACTTAAATACCCTACTAACAGTGTTAGATAGATCAATGAGGCAGATAACTAACCAAGATACTTGAGATCTAAACTCAACATTTGACCAAAATGATTAAACAAACATGTACAGAATTATCCAAACAAAACCAGAATATCCATTATTCTCATCTGCACATGGCACACACTCTAAAACTCACCACATGCTTGACCATAAAGCAATTCTCAGCAAATTCACCAAATCAAAATCATACCAACCACACTCTCAGATTACAGTGTAATTAAAATAGGAATCAATACAAATAAGATCTCTCAAAACCATACAATTACATATAAATTAAACAATACACCTCTGAATGGCTTTTGGGTAAACAATGAAATTAAGGCAGAAATCAAGAAGTTCTTTAAAACTAATGAAAACAAAGATACAACATACCAGAATCTCTGGAGCATACCTAAAGCAGTATAAGAGGAAAGTTTATAGCATTAAAAATTCACATCAAAAAGTTAGAAAGATCACAAATTAACAACTTAACATCACACCTAGGAGAACTATGAAAACAAGAGCAAACCAAACACTAAGGTAGCAGAAGAAAAGAAATAACCAAAATCAGAGCTGAACTGAACAAAATGGAGGCATGGAAAGACTTACAACAGATAAACAAAACCAAAAGTGTGTTCGTCAAAAGAATAAAGAAGATTGGTATACAACTATCTAGACTAATAAAGAAAAAAAGAGAGAAAACTGAAACGAACACAATCAGAAATGACAAAGTGGACATCATCTCTGACTCCTCAGAAAATTAAAAAAAAAAAAAAACCTCTCAGACTATTATAAATACCTCTATGCACACAAAACTAGAAAACCAGGAATAAATAAATGAATTCCTGGAAATATACAATTTCTCAAGATTGGACCAGGAAGAAATTGAATCCCTAAACAGACTAATAATGACTTCCAAAATTCAATCAGTAATAAAAATTCTGTCAACCAGAAAATGCCCTGACCCAGACAGATTTGCAGCTGAAATCCACTAGATGTATAAAAAAGAGCTGGTAACAATACTACTAAAACTACTGCCATAAATAGAGGAAGAAGGACTCATCCTTAACTAATTGTATGAGGTCAGCATCACTGTGATAGCAAAACCTGGCACAGACACAATAAAGAAAAACTTAAACCAATATTCCTGAAGAACATAGATGTAAAAATCCTCAACAAAATATTAGCAAACTGGATCTGACAGCACATCAAAATGCTATTGCCATGATGAAGTAGGCTTTATTCCTAGTTGGAAAGGTTGATTCTACATACACAAATCAATCAATGTGGCTCATGACACAAACTGAACTATAACAAAAAACCACATGCTTATCTCAACAGACAGAAAAGTCTTCTGATAAAATTCAATATCCCCTCATATTAGAAACCCTCAACAAACTAAATATCAAAGGCACATACCTCAAAATAATAAGAGCTATTTATGATGAACCCACAGCAAACCTCATACTGAATGGACAAAAGCTGGAAGCATTCCCCTTGAGAACCAGAATAAGTCTAGAATGCCCATTCTCACCACTCCTGTTAAATATCATTTTGGAAGTCCTAGCCAGAGCAATCAGGCAAGAGAAGAAATACAAGGAAACCAAATAGAAAGACAGGAAGTCAACTATCTGCCTTCTCAGAAGATATAATTCTATACCTAAAGAACCTTGTAGTCTCTGCTGAAAGGCTCCTCCACCTAATAAAAAAACTTCAGCAACGTTTCAGAACACAAAATAAATGTATTAAAATCAGTAACATTTCTATAAACCAGTAACACTCCAACTGAGAAAAAAAAATCAAGTACACAGTCTCATTGACAATAGCCACAAAAAAGAATCAAATACCTGGAAATACAAGTAACTAGGGAGGTGAAAGATCTCTACAATGAGAATTACAAAGCACTACTGAAAGAAATCAGACACAACACAAATAGAAAAACATTTCATGCTCGTGGATTAGAAGAATCAGTATTGTTAAAATGGCCATACTGCCCAAAGCAATTTACAGATTCAATGCTATTTCTATCATACTATCATATTTTCACAGATTTAGAAAACTTTATTCTAAAATTCATGGGGAACCAAAAATGAGCCTGCATAGCCAAAGAATTCCCAAGTAAAAAGAACAAAGTGAGAGATATGACACTACTTGTATGAATCCATTCTCACATTGCTATAAGGAAATACCTGAGACTGGGTAATTTATAAAGAAAAGAGGTTTAATTGGCTCATTGGTTTACTGGCTGTACAGGACGCATGATGCTGGCATTTGCTCAGCTTCTGAAGTGGCCTCAGGAAACTTACAATGAAGGCATAAGGCAAAGGGGGAGCAGACACATCACATGGCTGGAGCAGGAGCAAGAGGGAGAGTGAGGAAGGAGGTGCTACACACTTTTAAACAACCAGATCTCACAAGAACTTACTCACTGTCATGAGAACAACACCAAGAGGATGATGCTAAACCATTCATGAAAAAAAAAAAAAAATGCCCCCATGATTCAATTACCTCCCACCAGGCTCCACTTTCAACACTGGGGGCTACAGTCAGCAAGAGATTTTGGCAGGGACACAGATCTAAATGATATTACTACCTGACTTCAAACTGTACTACAAAGCTTTAGTAATCAAAACAGCACGGTATTGGTAGGAAAAAACAAACACATAGACCAATGGAACTGGTTAGCGAACTTATAAATAAAGGCCACCTATAACCATCTGACCTTCAGCAAAGTTGATAATAACAAGCAATGGTGAAAGGACTCCCTATTTAATACCTGGAATAACTGGTTAGACATATGCAGGAGATTGAAAGTGGACCCCTTCTTTCACCATATACAAAAATCAACTCAAGACGGATTAAAGACTTAAATGTAAAATCTAAAACTATAAACGTTCTAGAAGAAAACCTATGAAATACTATGATGGACATAGGCTCTGGCAAATATTTCATGAAAAAGACTCCAAAAGCAACAAAAACAAAAATTTACAAAGGAGACCTAATTGAACTAAAGCGCTTCTGCATAGCAAAAGAAACTATCAACAGAGTAAACAGAAAACCTACAGAATGGAGAAAATATTTGCAAAGTATTTGAATTGAAAATATTTGCATTTAAAAAATGTCTAATATCCATAACCTATAACAAACTTAAACACATTTACAAGCAAAAAAAAGAAACCTCGTTAAAAAATGGATAAAGGACATGAGCAGACACTTCTCAAAAGAAGATAGATATACAAGCGACCAACAAACCTATGAAAAAAGTTCAGTATCACTAATCATTACATAAATGCAAATCAAAACCACAATGAAATACCACCTAACAACTGTCAGAATGACTATAAGTAATAAAATAGCAGATGCTGGCAAGATTGTGGAGAAAAGGCAGTGCTTATATATTGTTAGTGGCAATGTAAATTAGTTCAGCCACTGTGGCAGGTTTGGATTTCTCAAAGAACTTAACACAGAATTACCATTCAACCCAGCGATTTCATTACTGGGTATATACCCAAAGCAATATAAATCATTCTATTATAAAGACACATGAGCATGTACGTTCATTGCAGCACTATTAACAATACCAAATACATAGAATCAACGTAGATGCCCATCATGCTGAACTAGAAAATAAAAAAAAAAAGTAGTACATATACAGCCTGGCATACTACACAGCCATAAAGAAGAACAAGATCATGTTATTTACAATGACATGGATGCAGTTGGAGACTATTATCCTAAGGACGTCAACACAGGAACAGAAAACCAAATACTACATGTTCCCACCTACAAGTGGGAGCTAAACACTGAGTACATATGTACACAAAGAACAGGGCAATAGACAGTAGGGCCTACATGAGGGTGAAGAGTGGGAGAAGGGTGAGGACTGAGAAACTACCTCTTGGGTACTATGCTCATTACCCAACTGATGAAATAACCTGTATATTAAATCTCCACAACACGTTATTTACTCATGTTACAAATCTGCACTTGTACTCCCTTAACCTAAAGTGAAGTTAGAAGGAAAAACATGAATGCAAATAATTCCTATCAACAGTGTAACAAAATATTGAATTAAACGTCTACTTTTGCTTTGCTTGTTTTAAGATACTGCAGCAGGAACCGTCATATCCAATCAACCTAAAGTTCTCCGTTCACCAATCACCTGTCAGGTGAGTTTATGAGGTTGGACAATGGCATGCAAAACAGATGATGCAACACAAGGCATAATATATAGTCATCTGTTTTCATTATAGAGCTTTATTTTATTAGCTCTTTTCCACTTGGTTTAAAATATAGAGGATACTTTGAGAAGAGTCGGTAGCAGCCAGAATTTTTCTTTTGGCTCAGCATTGCACTGCTTTCAGATCTATTTCCTTCCAAAGCCAATTCATTCTGGTTGTCCAGTGCCTTTGCAGTCAGCACCTTGAAATTTTTGCTTCCTAGACATTACCATTTTAATTCCCCAACACATCTGGTCCCCAAAAGCCAGGGTTATGTCCCAGCACCAGCCACTTCACCGATGATCCTGCACCTCGCACGTTAATAAGTCTACATAGTCAGAGTGAGCCCAATCAGGCACAATGGCAGCAGAGCTGGCACCGTTAGGGAACAAATGCCTATCTCACTGCTCAACTTGTCTGGTTCTAAGAGATTCTAGGAGAGACTAAGAAAGCCCATGGCTGATATTAAAGAGCCACTGCCGTCTCTGGTCAGGCACTATGGTGTCCACTAGCATAGTGAGCATACCAGCAACAAGAGGAAGACCGCAGGAACCAAAGGACAATTTGTGGTGGCTTGGGGCCTCAAACAGGAAAGATGTAGCTTCCTGTTGTATTTTACCTCCATTTAATTGCACTGGTTCATGAAAAACCCTGAAATACTCATCCATCATGAATATTAACCTCATTTCCATTACTACAAATAGAACTAATGTTTGTATGACATTTGTCCTGTGTGAGGCACAATTGTGAATGCACACTAACTTGTTAGAATGATACAATTTTCATCATCATCTCCATTTTCAAGTGAAAAAACTGAAACAGTTTGGGGTCATTTCACATTTCCATGGTAGAGGTGTAATTAGCAGCCCAGACAATGTGCCCATTTTCTTAATTATCCACCTATACCATGTGTCATCTGGTCTGCAAAACTAAATGGAAACCCAACTCATGATTTTCATGACTTGGTCAAAAATGGAGATACGATTAGATAAAGTTATCTGACAGTATTATAAGTGTTATAAAACTGATGAAGACTTTCATCTGTTGAATTGTGTTATAGATAATGTCTTGTTCCTTTCTGAGTTTGTTTAGGACTTTATTTTTCTTTGTAGTTTGCCAAAAGCAGAGAGAGGAGAAAACACCATTAACAATGTCATTGATTTTAAGATAATTTTTTTTCTTAAAACTATTACGTAATAACTACCAATGTAATTGGTGGGAGTAAGAGGTCACAGTTTTAATTAAAAGTCATGGCACAAATGGAAGCAATATTCAGCAAGCAAAATATTCTTCAAAGAAGTCATAGCAAAACTTTCTAAGATTTAGCAAATGATTTGGAAATTTTTTGAATTATTAAAAGATTTGCATTATAAATTATATCACTTGGTAAGCAGATTTGAATAATGTATTTGTTAGAGAATGGAAAGTAAGATATATTTTAAATTTCAATTTATATTTTAACTTTAAATTAGTTTAAGATTTCAAGCTCGTTATTAAATAATATGAATATCACACCAGTATTTAATATTAAAAATTACCTTATTATCAATTACGTTATTATTTTCCTGTACTGGCCAGTTTTCAATACTCCTCAAATTAGCATGTATATATATAGCAAATATATATATAACATATATAGCATATATATAACAAATTAGCATATATATAGCATATATACATGTATATGTGTGTATATATACACATATATACACATATACACACATATAAAAACAATAGTATTCATATATAAACTATTGTTTAAACACTATTTTCTATATATGCATGTGTGTATGTGTATATGTGTGTGTGTATATATATAACATAGATAGAAAATTTTTATTGTATCTTGTTGTTCTCTGAGTTCAACTTTCTTCTCTTCTTCCTGAAGTATATACTTCAAACCTCCTTCACAGAATAACATATACTTTGATTTCTTTTTTAATCTTTGATTCATTCATCAAAATTTTCTGTATTTCACTCCCATTCAATGATAGTTTAGTTACTCTCTATCACAACATTGAAAATATTACTTTATGTTTTTCTTGCCTCTTCTGCTACAATTAAGAAGATTTTCATCAGTCTAATTACTGTTGTTTTGTACATAATCTCTTATTCCTTTCTGGGGGTTTTTAAGGTTACTTCATTTGTCTTTAGTGTTTTACAGTTTTATTTTAATATAATTAATTATGGCATTTTTTGATCTGCTCAAAACATGAAACATGGAATGCTTTTAAATTTCAAGATTCATGGTTCTATTATTTCTTTTTTTTTTCTGAAAATTCTTTTATAGGTAAGTTGGACATTTCCCTTTAATTATTTGTGTTTTCTCCCATCTCCTCATCTCTCTGTGTTGGATGTTGGGTAATTTTCCAAAGGTTATCCAACTACTCCAAAGAAATTCTGTAGCTTTTGAGTGATTTTTATCTGTCTCTTTTTTTTTTCATTGCTTTGTTATATATTTAGGGGATTGTATTAGTCCATTCTTGCACTGCTAAGAACTACCGAAAACTGCATAATTTATAAAGAAAAGAGGTTTAATTGCCTCAGGGTTCCATAGGCTGTACAAGAAGCATGGCTGGGGAGGTCTTAGGAAACTTAAAATTTTGGCAGAAGGCAAAGGGGAAGCAGGCATGTCTTACATGGCTGGAACAGGAGGAAGTGGGGATAGATGCTACACATGTTTAAACAACTATATCTTGTGAGAACTGTATCACGAGAACAGCACCAAAGGGAAGGTGCTAAACCATTCATGAAGGATCCACTTCCGTGATCCAATCTCCCAACAGGCCCCACCTCCAATATTGAGGATTACAATTGAACATGAGATGTGGGTGGAGACACAGATCCAAACCACATGAGGGATTTGTATGTTGTGTTTCTCAGTTTTGATTTTCCTACATTGTACAGTTAGTGTAAATCTGATCTCAAATTTAGAATTAGATTGTAGATTAAGAGTTATGTTTTTCTTAGAAAAACATAATTCTTGGCTAGGACTGGAAGGAGGCAAATTTATTGCTATGTCACTGAACAAACAGGTGGAATTTGTTGGTCTCCTCTCCTTGGGGTTGCAGCCTTCGCATTTCCCGGTTTCTGATGATTTCTTCTTCCAGTTCCCCTTCTCACGGTGGCCTGATGATCCTCCAGGCCTGTCATGACCATCATCAGCTCCTGTTCCTACTGCTGTGAATCATAATATTCCTTTTCATTTTTAGACCCTACAGGTTTCCTTTTCTTTATTAGAAGCTTGTACAATTATTGAAAATGATACAATTATTTTTTCCCAGAATCTTTTATTGTTTAGATGGATAAGGATTCTGGCCAACCGAGTCTAACATTTTGCCAGAATTAGACAGATTTCTTTTTATATTGTTATTTCGAAGCAGGTTTTCTTCTATATTTGGGTAGAAGCCATCCGTAATTATGGAATAATTTGCAACGAGGCTTATTTCTGCACATGGGCCTGGAACTCTCTTTACATAAAAAAACACAATAACATACACATACAAAAGAGAGTCAGATGGTGAGATGAGATGCAACGTTGTATATTTGTAACTTGCTCCATACTAATGGGGACAGAATTATGTTAGCGAGGCCTGTGGAGAATACCAAGACTGAAGCTGCTCCAGGAGTTAGCACTCTTACAGGGAAGTCTGCAGTGAAGGCTTTTGTCCTTCAGAAGCTGGTGTGAGGGAAGCGCATTGACAGGATACAGTGCTTCCAGAACAGAAAGTATATTAGAATCACTTAGCTTCTTAAAAATAACCATTTATGGAGCCTGCAATTCTCTTTCATGTGCTTAACTGGGCCTAGGGATCTACACTGTGACACATACTTCGAGTGATTCCATGTAGGTGGTTTATGGCATATTGAGCTGCTTTGTTGAATGTCTGGGAAAAGGCATAGTTAAGAAATTAACATTGGGAAAGTGAAACTGGTTAACCAAGTGCTTTGAAGCCACCAATAAGGGGTCTGTGCTTTATCCAGATGAATAATAGAGAGACTGTGAAAATTTCAAAAAGGCAATGTGATGTGAAAACACTACAATATATGATGTATTTATAAATAGTACAAATGAAATAAATGTTAAATTTGCTTAAAGTCTAATGATAAAGCATGAGTTAGGTCAGGGATTTTCAACCTACGACCCAAGGGCTAAATGAATGTTGTTTTCATGTTTCTTGTTTCTGTACGGCCAGTGAACTAAGAATGAGTTTTGAATGATTTTTAAAGGATTGTGGACCCAAAATAATTATAGATGTGTGTACCTGTGTGTGTGTATCTATTTATCTATCTATCTATCTATCTATCTATCTATCTATCTATCTATCTACCTACCTACCTACCTACCTACCTACCTACCTACCTACCTATCTATCTATCCATCCATTCAGTTGACCAATTGACCTTTGATCAACTCAGGTTTTAACTGCATGGGTCCACTTATATGTTCTGCCTCTGCCACCCCTGAGACAGTGAAACCAGCACCTCCTCTTCCCACTCCTTTTCAGCCTAGTCAACATGAAGACAACAAGATGAAGACCTTTGTAATAATCCACTTCCACTTAGTGAATAGTAAATATTTTTCTTCCTTATGATTTTTAAAAACATCTAGCTTACTTCGTTATAAGAATATGGTGCATATATATAAAATAAACAAAATACATGTTAGTTGACTGTTTATGTTATCAGTAAGCTTCCTGGTAAACAGTAAGCTATTAGTAGTTAAGTGGGGAATCAAAAGTTATACACGAATTTTTGACTGCCTGGGAGATCAGTACCCCTAACCCCCACATTGTTAAAGAGTCAACTGTGCACACACATACACACACACACACACACAACAAAGATGTTTACTGTCCGGCCCTTCAGAGAATAAGTTTGCCGAGTCCCTGGATTTAGGCAGACTGAAGGTTTCCCAGTATTTGTGCAAGTTAGCAGCAAGGCTTCAGCTCTAGTGTGACTGGGTGGGTATCTGGGGAGGTAACTGCGTCAGAATGAGGCAAAAGCAAATAGGACTGGACTAGAAGGTAAACAGTCCAAATAACTATCAAAACAAGGTCCTTACAGCCTTAGATGGAAAAAGTGAACAAAGTATTTTCCATGGGATGACACACAGACCTTTTTAAAATGCACATTTAATTATGGTTTACATTGAAATTATTCAGTAATTTCAAATCCCCCTTAAGATAAGGCCAAAACTCAAGCTCCCACTCATTCTTCAACTTCTCTTGCAACATAACCTTGAGTAACTCACCAGAATTTACTGAGCAGAAACTTCTTGCAATCTCAGGAAAATACAAAATTCTTTCACTTTGTCTTTATTTTATTTACTTATTATTTGTTTTCAAATCAATCATGTATATTGGTTAAAAAGCAAATCGTACATGTTTTATAATGAATATTAACTGTTCTAAACTCCACTCCAGATTCCTCCCAAAAAAGATCTTTCTATGTTTTCATTTTTTGCCCTGAATTTACCTCCCTAAGTGTAAATAATATGCTTATATCCCTGTTTCCCAATTTTCTATCTTAAACATTATCTACTCAGTTCTAACATTGAAATAAAAATTTAGGACTTTATTGCTTCTTGGCCTTATGGCTAAGACCAAGTGTGAAATTTAGCACTTTACTCAGTCTCATCCACAAAAAGCTTTCCCTTCTCTCCCAATATTATGTCACAATTTTGATACTTTATGTGTGCATATATACATGTATATGTATATGTACATATATGTGTGTATGTGTATGTGTGTGTGTGTGTGTGTATATATATATATATTCCCTTAGTATCCATGGGGAATTTGTTCTACAACCCCAATGGATACCTAAGTCTGTGGATGCTCAAGTCACTTATATAAAATGGTACAGTATTTGCATATAATCTATGCATATCCTCCTGTATACTTTAAATCAGCTCTAGATTATTCATAATACCTAACAAAATGTAAATACTATGTCAACAGTTGTACTGTATTTTTTATTTTTATTTTTTTGGTGTTGTTATTCTTTATTCAAGTATTTTTGGTCTACAGTTGGTTGAATTTGCAGATACAGAGCCTGCGAATACAGAGAGTTGAGTGTACATAGTTTACAGTCAAACGTATAGTCCACATATGCTTCCTTTTACAAAAGTTTTATTGTTTTCTGCTGTTTCTAATTGCTCTATTTCTTATTGCTGAATTTTCTGCATTTGTAACAAAAACTATTCCTATGCAAAATTGTAAAATACTGCTAAGATCTCCATATATCAGATAATCTACAAAATTCTTTTCATTTTCTTTGAGATGTACCTCCTGGAGCCTTTTACCATCTTGTGCTAACCTTTGCAAATGTCTAAGTGCCTCCTATACAGCTGATTTCCTGGAACCATTTGCCCCTCACCATTTTTCAAGGAATTTACTCTTGTGTTGGATATTCTGTTTTACAAATATGTCTCTTCATATATATTTTTCTCCTTTTTCACTTATTTTTTTGTGGTGAATGTCATACAGAAGCTGCTGGAGAAAGAGAGCATGGAGGGCATATTTTTAAGAATATGCATCCCAAAATACTTTACTACAAGTCTCATAGTGTGGCTGGATATAGAATTCTACATCTTCCGTCAAGAACTTGAAAGTCTTACTATTTTCTAATGTCCAATGCTGTTCTTGAAAAGTTCACTGGCATTCAAATACCTCTATATAGGAGTAATTCCTTTGACCCTTCTGAAATTTATAGGATTTGCCATTTATCTTGAACATGTTGACATTTTATAACTTATGGCTTGGTGATTTTTTTTAATTTGCTATGTTGGAAACTGTGTAAGCTTTTCTGTTTGGAAATCTATATTCTGCCTTTTGAAAGATATTCATAAGATTTTAAAAACTGATGTCACCATGTATATTTTGCCTATTCTAGCCTATAAGTGCTGTTTTCTTTTCAGATGTTGGACATCTTAGATTGAACCTTTGATTTTTACAACTCTTACTTTTCATCTCTTTGTCATTTGAATTTGCTTTCCAGGACTTAGATTATATTACCATTTAACCCTTTTGTCCATTTTGCTTGTTTGTTTTTAATGTCAGAATTTCAGATGTATCTTTTAAATCTTTTTTTTTTTTTTTTTTTTGAGACAAGGTCTTGCTCTGTCACCCAGGCTGGTGTGCAGTGGTGAGACCATAGCTCACTGTAACCCTGAACTCCAAGACTCAAGTGATCCTCCCCACTCAGCTTCCTAATCAGTTAGGACTTACAAGCACCTGCCACCATGCCTGGCTAATTTTTAACTTTTCTTTATAAAGATGGGGGTCTTGCTACATTGCTATTGCCCAGGCTGGTCTCAAATTCTAGGCCTCAAGCAATTCTTCTGCCTTTGCCTTCCAAAGCACTGAGATTATAGGAATGAGCCACTGTACCTGAACTCTTTTTCTTTTCTTTTTAATTTAATTTTATATTAAGTTCTGGGATACATGTGTAAGATGTGCAGGTTTGTTACATAGCTAAACTTGTGCCATGGTGGTTGGTTGCACCTATCAATCCATCACCTAGGTATTAAGCCCCATATACTTTAGCTATTTATCCTGATGCTCTCCCTCCCTCAAGAGGCCCCAGTGTGTGATGTTCCCCTCCCTGTGTCCTTGTGTTCTTATTATTCAGTTCCCACTTATAAGTGAGAACATGTCACGTTTGGTTTTCTGTTCCTGTGTTAGTTTGCTGAAGATAATGGCTTCCAGCTCCATCCATGTCCCTGCAAAGGACGTGATCTCATTCCTTTTTTATGACTGCATAGTATTCCATGGTGTATATGTACCACATTTTTCTTATTCAGCTCTTTTCTTTCTTTTCTTTTCTTTCCTTTTCTTCTCTTTTCTTTTTCTCCTTCCTTCCTTCCTTCCTTTGTTGTTGTCAATTTGACTTTTAAGTTTTTCATAAATTATAGTTTTATTTTTCCCTCTGTTTCCTCCATTAGCTTTATTTCCTTGCCCTCCTTCTTGGTTTGTTGTTATTTGTTTGTTCTTTATCTTCAATGTTGGAATATTTCCTCATATATCTTTGATTTCTTGGCTACCCATTTATTCTTAAGAGTAAGACCTTAAAAATTTCTGTGTAGATTACCATGTGTGGGTTCCTAGTGGATTGTACCACAGGATAATTAGCCAGGAGCCTCTGAAAAACTATGACTTCTGTCAGTATTTACCCATTATTCTCTTCCTTTGGTCACTATCTAGGGAAGAATCCTCTAATACCATGCCTGAGGGAATATGACATATATCTAGAAGTGATTTGGGGAGGGCATTGTGGGCGTGAAGGGGAGTCTCTCATCATTCAGCCTGGACACTCTCACGTACTTCTTCAGCATTAAGTTTTGCCAGTCCTTCTCATCCTCCATTGTACCTGGTGCTCCAGAGCAAGGACTTGATCTATATCAAATTATACAAAAACAAAAGACAAAACTACTGTCTTTTTCTGAGATGCCTGTTACAAAGTAAGTTTTGATAAAATATAATGGGATACATGATTATGAAAAACAATTAGCAAGAACCAGTATAAGAATGTAGACAGTTGTATTATGATTATGGATATGAATTATGTAAAACAACAGCAACGAACAGGGGCAAGGCTAAGAACAGGATCATAGATCTGATGGAACACTGTGGACTCTGGGCCATGAGCAAGTGTCAGACTGAGACATGGAAAGTTTGGCTCTGCCGGATTGGTCAATAAAGACTCCTCAGTTCACTAAATTTGTTCCAGTTGGCGGTAGAAAGTGTTGAAATATGAACCAAGGTGAAACCTGATTTCTCCTACAACACGTGGCCTTTGGGGTTTGTTGTCTCAATCACAACCCACCCGTGGTCATGAGAGTTGCCAAGATCTGTCATGAGCTAATTTTGTAATCAGTAAAATGTCAGCTGAAGTAATGAATTAACACTAGCAGGAGTCGGAACCAGAAATTGGAGAGTAAGACCAGTTTTATATGCTGACAGGTGGGAATTTATTGCTGGATGAGGCAAGGTGATCATCAATTATTCAATTAAATAATCAATCTAGTTCGTGTATCTTATTTCTAAGCTCTTAAGTACACAGCTCTCTCTTAAAACTTAATGGTGGCTACTGTAGGGTGATCTGGAACAACTGCTACAGGGGCTGCCCTTTAAATCTGATATTTGTTCTGAGTGACTTTATTCAACCGAGAATTTTTATTAGCCCTTGACATTCACGGCCATTTTAAAATCCATCTTTTACTTACTTGAGGTAAACAGAATCTCTTTTTCAAAATCTGCAAAATCTTGGGTTTCTGGGCTCTCTTCATTCCCTTTCATTTCCTATTTCAACCAGCTGACTCTTTACCAAATCAATTTTCTCTTTCTTGCAATACATTGCCAAACGCAGCCAATGGTAAGCAATCCATACTATTATGGTACCATTTTCCCAAATTATTCCCCTAGAGCTATAAATATAATAAGCACATTATCTACATTTCAAGTTACAGGAGATGAAAACTATTCAATGTTTTGCTGCTATATAACCTGGATATTCATCTATCTTTCCTGCTATATCTCTTTGTTGCTGCCTCCAAGTAACTCAGCTATATATTTTATCCTATATATTATCTGTAGCAAGTGCTACATATTTCACTCTTTTTATTTTCCTATAGTAGTGTCACAAGTCAAGGTAGCAATTACCGCATAGATCATGATAGCACAGTCTATACTACGGCAGCTATTACATATTGAAGATATTGAAATTTCAGCAGTTTATCTCAGTAATGGTTTATATCTGACTCACATTTCAGATTGGAGCAGTTTGAACAGTTCTTTAGGCCAGATATCCAACTGATAATACAGGAATTTGGAATCCCATCATCATGTGTTCCGAAAATACTGAAATCCTTTATATCCAACTGTATTGATGAAAGAGAAAATGTACCAAAAGTTACTTAGGGGTCTTCAGAGGACAAGTGTACATGTAACATACAATAATTACACACACATTCTATTGACAAGCACTAGTCAAATAACCTCCCTTGACGGCAGCCAGATTAGATATATGATTTAAATGTGTATTCAAAAGGAAAGTAAAAACATTTTGGTGAACATACTACACAGGTTACACAGCCAATAAATTGTACTTGAGAGGAATATAATGGACTTGGAAATTTGTAATAGATGTGAGGAGGAATTTAATGGACTTGGAATTTTGTAACAGATGTGAAAAATCATTTTTAAAATCTATAATTGGGGACTGGATAAATGGTTTATTGATCATTATGAGTCTCTTGAATTTCCTACTAGTTGAAAGACAGTAATTTCTTATAGATACAATTATTTGACAATTTAATTGCCTTTTCATCTTTAAATAAGTTTTATCTTTTACCTGATGTAACTTTTACAAATAAAGATTTCAATCACTTTTTGAGAAATATTGACATACTGTCAATTATATGACAATAGAGACACAACATTTTTTGATACACGGTTTTTCTGATACATGCCGTAGACTTTAGATATTTCTAAAAATAGAATAGTGGTTTTGTTTTAAATCTATAAACAAAAAAATTGTTACTATAGTTAATGAAAGAATTATTTATAAAAAGAACAAGATAAAAATATGTATATACATTATAAATATACCTATGCTATATGTATTACATTAGGTGAATATATAATGAAAATGCAAAAAAGAAATTGTTCCAAGATTTGAACAATGACTGATTTAACATGGAGATTAATGTTTTTCTTTATTAATTAGAAAATGTTTTGTAATATAGAAACACCCTGCTTCTAGGAAAAGGGAAATTAGGTCTTGCAGATGTAGTTAAATTATGTTATATTGAGATGGGCCCTAATACAATGACTGCTGTCCTTATAAGAATAGATAATTTGGACACACTTACGGACCCACACAGTGGGGGAAAGGCCTTGTGAAGATACAGGAAGATATTCAAGTGACACATTTTTAAGCCAAAGAGTGCCAGTAGTGCCTACACCCACCAGAACATGTAAGAGACAAGGGAGAATTCTTCCAAAAACCCTTCAGAGGGACCATGACCCTACTGACACCTTGAACTCAGCATTCGACTCCAGCCTCCAGAACTGTGAGAGGATACACGTATGCTTTTGTTTTAAGCCACCCACTTTATTGTGGAACTCTAAGAAACTAATATAATCTGTATCAGAAAATAAAATAACAAAGGCTGACAAAGAAGCAGCTAAGTATCCACCTAAAAAAGAGGAGGAAAAACTTCAAAGTTAGGCATCTGAGAAGATTAATAATGCTGACAAATCTTTTATTGACTAATGAGGAGGGGGCAGAAAATGCCAAACAAATTATAATAGGAATAACAAGGGAGCACATAAATACAAGTAATATTACGATGAGATAATAAATAGTTTTATATTCCAAAATATTTTAAGAAAAATATTAGAAAATGCCTAGAAAAAAATAGAACTTACTAAAAATGACTCAAGCAATGGAATACTCAAATAATCCTATATTCACAAAAGAAGTTAAAGCAGTAGTCAAAGATCTGCCCACAAAGAAATCTCCATACACCAATCAGCTGGAAGAATAATTACAAACAAACAAATGCAAAGATTAGAAAAACTATTAATGTTTTTCAATTTATTTTTGGCAACTCTTATATCCTCTTTTTTTTCCCCCAACTTTTATTTTAGGTGCAGGGGGTACATGCGCAGGCTTGTTACATGGGTAAATTATGTTTTGTGAGGGTTTGCTGTGCAGATTATTTCCTCACCTAGGTAATAAGCATAGGACCTGATGAGTAGTTTTTCCATCCTCACCCTCCTCTCACACTCCACTCTCGAGTAGACTCTGGCATCTATTGTTCTCTACTTTGTGTCCATGTGCATTCAGTTTTTAGCTCTTACTTCTAAGTGAGAATATGCAGTATTTGGTTTTCTGTTTCTGCATTAACTCACATAGGATAATGGCCTCCAGATCCATCAGTGTTGCTATGCTGAATATAGCACCCTACTGCCAATTCCTTCCTGGATTGTAGGGTTTCTGCTGAAAGGTTTCCTATTAGCCTGATGGGGTTCTCTACGTAGGTGATCCACCCTTATTTCTATCTGTCTTTCTTTAATATTTTTTCTTTCACATTGACCTTGGAGAATGTGATGATTATGTCTTGGGGATGGTCATCTTGTATTATCTCACTGGGATTCTCTGAATGTCTTGAATTTGAAGGTTGACCTGTGTAGTGAGGTTGGAGAAGTTTTCCTGGACAATATTCTTAAGTATGTTTTCCAAGTTGCTTGCCCTCTCTCCTTCTCTTTCAGGGATATCAATGTATCATATGTTTGGTCTCTTTACATAATCCAGTATTTCTCAGAGGTTTTGTTCATTTTTTAAAATTCTTTTTTTCATTATTTTTGTCTCACTGAGTTGATTCAAAGAGTTGGTATTTGAGCTCTGAGATTCTTTCCTCAGCTTGGTCTATTCTGCTGTTGATACTTCTGATTGTATTATGAAATTCTTACAGTGAGTTTTTCAACTCCATCAAATCAGTTCAGTTCATAAATCATTACAGTGGTTTTTTATATATTTATAGTAACAAATAAAGTTTAGCATTACCAACAATATAGGCAAATATCTAACGAAATGGAATAGCAGGCCCCAAACAAATTGATTCATATTTTGATATTTGATATGAAAAGTTGGGCAACATACATCAAATAAGTGGTATTAAGAAAACTGAAGATCCATATCTGATTCTATATTAAAAATAATTCCTGTGGCTTGAAGACTGAAATCTAGAAGGCAAAACTGTAAAGATTTATAAAAATTAAATATAATAAAATAGATTTGTGATTTCAAAATAGGGAAAGTTTTCTTAAGCAACATAGAACAAATGCTAATATAAAAGAAAAATAATAATAAATTCAACTACATCAAAAGGAGAGATTTATGATCATCACTCATACCCTGAAGAAAGTGAAAAGACAAGATAACTAAACTAACATGACTATTTGGCTTACGGAAGAATATTCAGATGCTCAAACCTCCAAAGAAAACACCATCAACATGCCTAATTTTTTATGGATATGAGAATTTAAAACACATCTGATAGGTTGGTAAAAATTTAAAAGTCCAATTATTAGCAAAATTCGCAAGCATGGGAATAAATACAAGAACACTAATAGTGGGAGTGTAAATTTTTATAAACACTCTGAAGAATAGATTGTCATTATTTAGTAAAGCTAAGGACATACATATACTATAAACTAACAATTTAATTCCTGGATCTATATTGCACCTTCATACATGTATAGAATGCTTATAACAGCATTGTTTTTAGTCACTAAACGAAAACAGAAAAATGACCCACAAATCTATAAATAATAGAATAAATGCATTAGCTTTTACATTTTCATATAATAGAAAATTATATTGCAATAAAATAAATACATCATAATCACCTGTAGCACCTTGTGTCAATCTCACAAATATAACGTTGAATAAACAAAAACAAATAATAAAATCCTACATACGAGCAGTGTTATCCCATTCATATAAAGTTTTAAAATGGGCAAATTAAACTGTATAATTTGGAAATCCATGTACATTTGTTAAAATTATGAAGAAAAATGAGAAAATAATTTTTGCAAGTTTTGGATAGCAGCTACATTAAAGATAGAAACATTTGGAGGGAACTTGGGGTACATCATAAATGCTAATCATATTCTCTTTCTTGCCTTGACTAGGGCAAAAATAGATATTAGTTTCATAGTTGTCTGTTTAAACTATATACATAAGTTTGGTTACATTTTGATAGGTGCAATGTTAAAAAATGTAAAATTTTAAAAACTAAATATATAAAGATAAAAGTTTTTAAAATACTATGTTAATTAACAATCTAATCGCAAATGAACAAAGCAATCTAATTGCAAATGAGAATGGGAAAAAAGATTGACTTTTTTTTCCTTTGCTTTATTCAACTTTGTTTGTTTTGCTTGATATTTTGTGTATAGGTGTTTATACTCTTTTTTTCAAAGAACGAACTGTTCTAAAACAAATGTCAAGTTGATCTGTTTTTATAGGTTAGTGTTTCTTAAATTTTATTATACATGTGAATCACCTGGGAATCTTGTTAAAATGCAGATTCTGACTCAGTAAATCTGGAGTGAGGCCTGCGATTCTAACAGGCTATCATGGAATGCACAGGGTGTTAGATTAGTCCAAGTACTACTCTTTGAGGAGTGGAGCTCCGAGCTACAGATTGGTTGGTAATGGCTTAATTAAAACCCAACTAGTAATGGGTAAATGGGGTGACCATAGATTTTCATTCAGTTGGGACACAGTTGGAAGTGAAATACAGTTGTTATTAATAATTGTGCTTGGACACAAGGTATAAACCAGAATTTCCTGGCAAACTTGGGATATCTGTTCTCCCTAGCTGTGAGTTATAGTGACTTTTTTTACATATTTTTAAATGTAGGAACAGACATTCTGGGAAACTGACCACCGCAAATCCTCCCGAGTAACACAACTAACATTGCCCCAAAAAAGAAACAACCTGAAATGCATACCAAGCCTTATAAGAAAAAAGTCTTTGAGGTAGCAAATAAAGGTTTATATTTTGCAAAATGCACAGCAGGGAAAAAGTTATGCCCAGGTTGAAGTGGGTGTAAGTCTCCCATCTGCTGCTAGCTAGACAGTCTGGACCCCAGATTCTTCTTGCTCCTGAAATACTTGTAAGGCATGGTCTTATTACATTTCAATGATATCATCTTTACTTTTGGTATGAGATACTGCTTTGTTTTATCTCTTTTGCATTTTTAATTTTTTGAACTTAAAATAATGTTGCTCTTTTCTATCTACTGTTTCTTTTTTCTGATTTTAAAATTACTTACAAATCTACTTTTCAAAGCAAAACAAGAATTTTTTTTTTTTTTTTACAATTTTGATTTTTATTTTAGATTTGGAGGTACATGTGCAGATTTGTAACATGGGTATGTTGTGTGGGACTGAGGTTTGGGATACAAATGATTCCATCACCCAGGTAGTGAGCATAATATCCAATAGTTAGTGTTTCAACCTTTGACCCCCTCTAGTACTTCCTAGTGTTTATTGTTGCCATCTTTATGTAATGACTACCCAGTGTTTAGCTCCCACTTACAAGTGAGAACATGTGGTATTTGGTTTTCTGTTCCTGCATTAATTTGCTTAGGATAATGGAATCCAGCTGCACCCATGTTGCTGCAATGAGCAGCATTTGATTCCCTTTTATGGCTGCATAGTATCCCATGGTGTATTATGCACCATATTTTATTTATTGAATCCACTGTTGATGGGAACCTAGGTTAATTCCATGTCTATGCTATTTTGAATAGTGCTGCAGTGAACATACGTGTGCATGTGTCATTTGGTAGAACAATTTCTTTTCTTTTGGATCTATACCTAGTAATGACATTGCTAGGTTGAATGGTAGTTTAAATTTCTTTGAGAAATCTCCAAACTGCTTTCCACAGTAGCTGAACTAATTTAAATACACACCAGTAATACGTAAGTGTTCCCTTTTCTCCACAGCCTCACCAACATTTGTTCTTTTTTGGCTTTTTAATAATAGCCATTCTAATTGGTGTAATTGGTGAGAGATACTATCTCATTTTTTTAAATATGAATTTATCTGATGATTAGCAATGTTGACCATTTCTTCATATATTTGTTGGCCACATGTATGTCTTCTTTGGAGAAGTATCTATTTATATCCTTTGCCCATTTCTAATGAGGATATTTGTGTTTTGGTTGTTCAATTGTTTAAGTTCCTTATAGAGTCTAGATATTAGACATTTGTTAGGTGCATAGTTTTGCAAATATTTTCTCCAAATCTGTAGGTTGCTTGCTTATTCTGTTGATAACTTCTTTCACTGTGCAGAAGTGCTTTTGTTTCAATTAGGTCTCATTGGTCAATTTTTGTTTTTGTTGCAATTGCTTTTGAGGATTTAGTCATAAGTTCTTTCCCAAGGTTGGTATCCAAAATGGTGTTTCCTAGGTTTTCTTCTAGGATTCTTATGGTTTGAAATCTTATGTTTAATTATTTATTCCACCTTGAATTAATTTTTGCATATGGTGAAGGGCATGGGTCCAGTTTCATTTTTCTGCACATGGCTAACCAGCTATCCCAGCACCATTTTATTGAATAGAAGTTCCTTTCTCCATCGCATATTTTTGTCAACTTTGTTGAAGATTAGATAGCTGTAGAGGTGCAGCTTTATTTCTGCATTCTCTATTCTGTTCCATTGGTCTATGTGTCTATTGTTTTATCAGTATCATACTGTTTTGACTACTGTAACCTTAAGGTGTAGTTTGTATTCACGTAATGTTGTGCCTCCAGCTTTGTTCTTTTTGCTTAGGACTCCTTTGGCTATTTGAGCTCTTTTTTGGTTCCATATGAATTTTAGAATGATTGTTTTTTCTAATTCTGTGAAAAATGTTATTGGTACTTTGATAGGAATAGCATTGAATCTGCAGATTACTTTGGGCAGTAAGGCCATTTTAACAACAGTAATTCTTCCAGTCCATAAGCATGGAATGTTTTTTCATTTGTTTTGTCTCTGATTTCTTTCAACAGTGTTTCATAATTCTTCCTGTAGAAATCTTTCACTTCCTTGATTAGCTGTATTCCTAGGTTTATTTTCATGTGTGTGACTATTGTGAATGAGATTGCATTCTTGAATTGGCTCTTGGCTTGAACATTTTTGGTGTAGAGAAATGCTATTGATTTTTGTACACTGATTTTGTATCCTGAAACTTTATCGAAGTCATTCATCAGCTTTAGGAGTCTTTGGGTGGAGTCTTTAGGCTTTTCTAGGTATAGAATCGTATCATTAGTGACGAGAGATAGTTTGATCCTTCATTTCCTATTTGAATGCCTTTTCTTTCTTTCTCTGGCCTGATTGCTCTGGCTAGGACTTCCAATTGTCTTTGTTTAAAAAATCTCAATATCTTTAGATTCCATAATAAATTCTTTTGTTTTTGTAAGTAACTCATATTGTATTTTTGAAATGATTTTCATTCGAGGTTTTTTGTTTTAGTATGTGGGAACAATTGGTGTTGATGTTATCAATCACTTGAATAATTTATTCATAAGATATCTTTGTTGAAAATGTAAATATTTAAAAGAGTGACCCAGACCTCTAAGAGAAAAACACAAACCATGACAAAAAAAAAAAAACAGAAAAGAAAGAACACTTAAATAAAATAATAGAAGTAACATGCATGTAATCTGAAATTATACCAATGAAAACTAATGCATAATTTGCAATATATAGAGAATCCATTTATACATTTCAGAAAACTGACATTAGAAAATAAAAGGGGTTAGAATATGCCAGCCAGAATTAAACTGACAAAGCTAAAGATTCCTTTTGTCTCTTGAATCACAAGCTCTTATCTGCAAAATGTCACACTGAAGACTTCTGCCAGTATTAAACAGGATCTTGGTGAGCCTCATTGAATATCTCTATTCACACTCAAACAAAATGTTTTTAAGTAATGGAGATGAATATTATGGTTTTAAATCACAAAAAGTTAAAAATAATGAATCATATTCAGTACTGAAAACACCTTAAACTTGAAGTATGATTCTTTTCATTATGACATATGGTTTTCAGAAAAATAGCAGAAACTGACATTCTAGAAAAACAAAATGAGTGATTCACACCCCAGCAAAATCTATTATCACTTCCAGGATATTAAATACTTCATGTGCCAAGTTAGTCATAGATTCTGGCCTTACTTCAAGAGGTACTATTGATATTCTTAGTTGTTTTGGTTTTTGTTTTTTGTGCGTGTGCATTTTTTATTTTAATTCTAATGAATCCATAAAAATGTATCCACATATGAAGAATTTATAATGAAACAAACTTATTGCAGCTGATTCATGATTCTTCATGGAATTGACATAAAGACTTGGCTTTAGAGATCTTCCAGAACTCCCAACTAAAACAAAAATAAATTACTTCTAAATTATCTATATTATTTGCCTTCATAGTTGTGTGATAATTGCAGGATCTCAGGGCAGTCTCCTTGCAAATGCGTCTAGTCACGTTCTTGGATGTCTTTATTTATTAAATAATCTATTATACTCAAATTTAACACACATCTCTCAAGTATGTGTACCTGGCTCTGTGATAATTGTGAAGGATTAACAAGACAACAAAATATAGCTGACTCTTCAACATGAGTTTGAACTGTGTGGATACACTTATGGTCAGATTTTGTTCAATAAAAGTTACACCTAGTGTGCCTGTCTCTCCTGCCTCTTCTTCTACCTCCTCCACCTCTTCTTCCCCTGAGACAGCAAGACCAACCCCTCCTCTTTCTCCTCCTCCTCAGCCTACTCAATGTGAAGAGGATAAGAATAAAGAGATTTTGTGATAATCCTTTTCCACTTAATGAATAGTAAATATATTTCCTCTTTCTTATGATTTTCTTAACAACATTTCTTTTCTCTAGCCTACTTCACTGTGAGAATACAGTTATACTACACACAATACACTAAGTAAATATATGTTAATTGATGGTTTATATTATTGATCAGACTTCCAGTCAACAGTAGTCAATTAGTTAAGCCTGGGGGGAGTCAAAAGTTATACACAAATTTTGAACTGTGTGGGGTGTCAGTGCCCCTGACTCCTGAGTTGTTCAAGGTTCAACACTATGGTCTCAAGTAGCTCACACTCAGGTTAACAGATAGTAAAGTCCACATTACAACAGAATTTGGCAAGTGCCCTAAAATCAGAAGAAATGGGATTCTAGGAGAGAAGCAAAAGGAAGTTCAATTTCTGCTACATGTAGCTAAAATCACCTTCCCCCAAACGTACATACTTTAGATAAGTCATACCTTTCAGTCCAGAGGAAATAAGTATCTCTTCCATGCAAGGGGTTCTTAAATTTTGTTATTACTGTTATTTGTTTGCTTTCTTGCTTGCTTTTATCTTTTGGCCTAAAAGATAACACATCAATGTCACCATCTTCTACTAAATATCATCAACTGTTTCTCAACTTAAAAGATACCTGCATCTTATTTATTCTCTTTTGAATATACATTTTGTTTCAAGATCCTCCTTTACTGGGTATATACACAAAGGATTATAAATCATGCTGCTATAAAGACACATGCATGCGTATGTTTATTGCGGCACTATTCACAATAGCAAAGACTTGGAATCAACCCAAATGTCCATCAATGATAGACTGGATTAAGAAAATGTGGTATATATGCACCATGGAATACTATGCAGTCATAAAAAAGGATGAGTTCTTGTCCTTTGTAGGGACATGGATGAAGCTGGAAACCATCATTCTGAGAAAACTGTCGCAAGGACGGAAAACCAAACACCACATGTTCTCACTCATAGGTGGGAATTGAACAATGAGAACACTTGGACACAGGGTGGGGAACATCACACACCAGAGCCTGTTGTGGGGTTGTGGGAGGGGGGAGGTATAGCATTAGGAGATATACCTAATGTAAATGACGAGTTAACGGGTGCAGCACATCAACATGGCACATGTATACATATGTAACAAACCTGCATGTTGTGCACATGTACCCTAGAACTTAAAGTATAATTTTAAAAAAATACAAAAAAAACAAAAAATAAAATAAATAAAATACTTTAAATTTTTTGGAAAAAAAGATCCTCCTTAAAACATGATTAACAAAAGTAAACACAATACTACATTAAAATATGAATAATATAATGCTATAAACACAGTTATAGATAATACTTTTTTCTGTAGTTAGGGTTGTAATGCTATACTCAACCAATTTTTTTCTTTGCAATTATTTGTTAAGTGTAGTAAGACCATGTAAGTCCAGTGAATTTTTGTTTGCTTGCTTTAAAAAATAATCATTTATTTCTATTAGATTATGGCGTATTTTAATCTGTTCAAATATTTTACAACTAAATTCTGACACCAAACATTAACTCTCCTGTCAGATTTAGAGATTTCATTAAGGTTACTTCTATTTTCATTCAGGCAATAATAAAAATGCCGATTCATATAAAGTTAATTACAGGGTCTTCTGGAATTCTGGGGTAGCGTAAAATAAATGTCTCCAGAGAAATACTTACCAACTGTTTGCTGTTGAAGAACCCACTCCAATTTAAGGCAGTGAATACTAAAGGGGTCCCTGAGACTCAAATTGAACTTTTTAAGACTCTCATCTTTTTAATTCTCTTATAGGTATTTTCATTTCATCTTTAGTACAAACCTGCGAGACAGATCTATTATTAAGCTATTTCACCAAAAAGGAAAATGAGACGCGCGTAACTTGGCTAACTTGCATGGTCATGCAGTTGATTGACAGACTAAGAGACTCAAAGGTGATACATTGATTTTAATTCCCAGGAAACAATTATTCAGTCATTTATTATCCACCAGATTGTTCTATGACTATATGTCGGTGATGTTTGAAGAAATTTTAATATGGATTTTTCCAATCAATACTAACACTACACAACCTGAATGGCTAAAACTTTAAAAATTGGAAAAACCAAACACTAGCAAGAACATAGGGTCAGGGAAACTCTAATGCATGGTGTGGTGGAATGTAACATAGAATATTTTCCTTCACTTTGAAGAAGGGGCCTGGGATTTTACATTTGATACATAAAATCATGTATACCGGCCGGGCGCGGTGGCTCAAGCCTGTAATCCCAGCACTTTGGGAGGCCGAGACGGGCGGATCACGAGGTCAGGAGATCGAAACCATCCTGGCTAACACAGTGAAACCCCATCTCTACAAAAAATACAAAAAACTAGCCGGGCGAGGTGGCGGGCGCCTGTAGTCCCAGCTACTCGGGAAGCTGAGGCAGGAGAATGGCGGGAACCCGGGAGGCGGAGCCTGCAGTGAGCTGAGATCCGGCCACTGCACTCCAGCCTGGGCGGCAGAGCGAGACTCCGTCTCAAAAAAAAATAATATTAATAATAAAATCATGTATACCAAATATTTTCACTGTAACCAAGGAGTTTCCTGCCTAGGAATTACTCAAGAAAATTGGAAAACAACGCACACAAAAAAAGTTTGTAATGAGAATATTCATGAAAGCTTTATTCTTTGTAATGAAAAACTGAAAATTGTCCAAGTGCCTACACAGACAGCAATAAACTGTGGCGTATTCATACTGAAATATGACTCAGTAATAAAAAGGAAAGAGCTACTGATAAGCGAAAAACAAGGATGAATCTCATAAATATGCAGAGTGAAAGATGCTTTCCCAGAAGGTAATGTATAGTTAAAAAAAAAAATTGCATTCCCCTATTTTATTGAGAAAAAGGAAGTTATACTCTATACCATAGTTTGCTCTTAATAAATTCATACTGGCACCTAGCATGTGTTTTACTCTTTTCCAAGGACTACTCTGAAACAATCTAAGTAGCTGACATCAAGTTCTCACACATGTGTTTTACCTTTTTTTGAAAACTGAATTATTTCCCTGGATCCTAGTCACCTATCTCGTTCTTCACGGTTTTCAGCCATTGCCAAACCGGGTTCTAGCCATTCTTTCCTTCTGTGCTCGGCTATTTGGCCTGGAGGTCTCTGACGTGGAGGTTCTGGCATTGAGATCTCTCTCGTTACTTCCTCAGCTCCATGGGTCTTAAACACCATCTTATCTTCCTTTAACAGTTTCAGTGAGACGAACTCCCTGCATGAACAGGACAAAAGCAAAACAGCAGTTAAGTTGTTCTGTTAACATTATACCATCTGTTGCAAGGAATGGAACTCTCTCTTCCTTGTTCCTCTTCCTGTTTTGAACCTAGTAAAAGTGTTCTTTTTATTGTTCCTAGCATATTTTCCAAGGCTCAGATTATTTTTTATTAGCCTTCTTGGCACTGTTACAGTTTCATGCAACTCTTAAATTTGTATTTATGTGTGAGCGCCTTCTCTTTTTTTTCTTCTTTCTAAATGTATAATCATCAAAGAATCCCCCAAAGTCACAGAGCTTTCTTCAGATAATATCCGATTTTCTTCTCTTGAGACTTTTTCTTAATACAGACTCTAACAATGCAATTCCTCACTATTTCTCTACATTTTTTTTCCTGAAAAACAAACAAAGACCAACTGTGATTGGAAACTTGAATGGGTATATGCAGTCAGAATTGGAGTGAACTATGATAAATAGAACACTTTCATAACTATACTTCCCACCACTACTCACCATTCAAACTAATGATGTGACATTTTCTCTCTAAAATGATAACATAGTCTGTTAGTTTTGTGATTTCTTGGTGAATTATTTCTTTCTCTGACAATAACTAGGGAATTTTCCACATAACAAGACAGGAGTTAACTATGTGTTCCTATGAAAATAGTCTATGGAGTGTTCCAAGAAAATAAATGCACATGATGTTAACATAATTTAAACAACAAAAATAGAATAATGATGTTAAATTCCTGTTTTGTGTACCTGAAGGTCATAATTGTTCTAAATACTGTGTACCAGGGTCATGGTATTATTTTCAATGACAAGACATGTGTTGGATTATGTTCAGGATTAAATATTAACATTATAGAGATTGTGCAGAATTACATGAAACAGAAAGTTAAATAATGAACAAATAGGCAGTATAGGGCAAGGAGTGGTAAGACTCCTTTTTACTCATGCTAAACAGAGACTCAGGTAAAATCCGTGGGCAGGATTTAAACTTTTCAGTTAATGTGTGACGTAGTTTGGGACATAGCCATTTCATTAAAATTTAGATGATCGAAGTCCCTCCTACCTCCTACCTCCACAGTGACATATCCAGTTGTATGTGTCTCAAATATACCATCACTTCCTCCATATAGGTAATTACAATTGCTACCATAGCCTGCTGCTAACTGGCATCTCAAGCATCAGTGTCTCCATGTTCTGTCTCTCCACAGTGCTTGAGACAATAAATATGAACAGAATGCCCAAGTGGGCATCTTTTTACAACCTTTAAACAATTTCTTATCCTCTATCAACAATTCTATTCCATGTAGCCTGCTCCGTAGACACTCCGAGCTTTTTCCTTTAACATAGTTAAACATACACATAGTTAAATATATACATAGTCAAACATTGCTCTCGTTTGACATTACAGGGGTAGTCTCGCAATAAGAAAAGACAAATCCATGTTGTTCTTAGAAAAGGGTGAAACACCTATCACAAATGCTTCTGAAATTTCCATTATTTTGAGCAGTACCATTATTGTCATCAACATAAAGGCACTGAGTTTTCTTCAGCATTTCTTCTCCCCTAGAGATGGACTGAGAACTTATAAGGAGAAACTTATATGTGTAGCCAAGCTACTTTGGGTCTGATCACTCATGGGAGCTGGGGTGTACTGAAAAGAGTACACTCTCTGCCCTGCTCCTTTTAAGCCATTTGTAAAGACAGGTTGTCATATAGTGGTCCAGTTCTACCAATGATTTGGAGAATAGGTCTATACGCTTTTCGGTTTCTATATTAGGAAATCTATTTGCCTGCAAATAAAAGAACTGCCTTAATTTGGCACTTGCTCTGTAATGAAAATGTAATTATATTTCCATATATCTTCTATTTTATTTATATTCATTAATTGGCTCAGAAATTAAATGAATAACATGGTTATTTAATGGATTCTCTTTCAATCCCCATTTCTCACTTGTTTTCCATAAATGTTGCAGATAGTGCAGATAGTATATATTCCCTCATATATTATTATATGTTCTTTACAGTTTTCCTGCAATTTTGGTCTTTCTAAATCTCTCTCTGTCTCTCTCTCTCTTCTCTCTCTCTCTGTCTCCCTCCCTCCCTGCCTCCTCTCCCTGTCTCTCTCTCTCCCTCTCTCCTTTCTCTTTCCTTTTCTCATGATTATTTAACAGACAATTTGTACCGGATGCACCACCGTGGCAAAGTCTGACACTGTAAAATAATATATCTTGGTTCTTCCTGTGTGAAACTCACACTATTTTTGGATTTATAATTATGTAAAAGTCTGAAAGAAGTGAATATTATCTCTTTTTTATTTCTAAAATGTTTGTTTCTGAAAGTGTAAAAGAGGATTGATGCTATTTAACTTATCTCAAGTTAATATCAATTTTAAAAATGTGCAAAAATTGAGGTCAAAATAAAAGGTTGTATGCCTGTAAAGAAATTGACAAACAGGTTGCTCCTTCAGCATTGAAAGTATCTCAAAACAAATAGATGGGATTTCCATTACGACCTGTGAAAGGTTACATGAGAGTTCACTCCCACTATAAACATCAAAAACATGGACAAGATATATGTGAAAAGAAATATTTTCAGATGTTGGAAAACACACCATGCAGTGCTGTAAACTCTCAAGGAAGAAAAACAAGAAAAATGAGTTCTGCGAGTTCAGTTCTTAGGTTTCAATATAGGAAAGCAGAACACAAACAAAGACTGGTTGCACTGAGTTGAAGGGACAACAATGGCAGTCCAGGTAGAATGTGGCAGCTAGAATTTGTGACAGTGCCACCCAAGAGGAGAGAGCCATTCCACAGGAAGATAGAGCTCTAGCTTTCTGCAGTTATTCATTCCAAAAATTCTTTGGTTGAATGCTGAGATGCACATATGTGGGATAAAATTTCACAGGATATAGGAAATAATCAATAAAAAGCAGAAAACTGGATAATTAATTAGAGCTCAAATAAGACTGAAGTAAGCTGAATTCCTACCAGCCAGAGTAGACAGACCACATTATGCAAGGAGCCCTGGCTAGAATGCTCAGAAAAGCATTGCTTTAATGGAAAATTCATAGACTGGGGGGAAAATATGCATATATCTGATAAAGAACATGTATCAACAATATACAAAGAACTCCTGAAACTCAACAGTAAACAAACAAGCAACACAATTAAAAGATAGACAAAAGATCTGAACAGACACCTCACCAAAGAAGATACACTGATGACAAATAAACATATTAAAAAGATACTCAATATTATATATCATTAGGGAATTACAAATTAAAACAACAATGAGATACCAGTAAACACCTATTAAAATGGCTAAAACTCAAAACCCTGTGTGTTAGTTTGCTAGGGCTGCCATAACCAAGTATGGATGGCTCAAAAACCAGAAATCTATTTTCTCATACTTCTGAAGACTAGACGTCCAAGATAAGGTGTCAGCAGGGTTAGTTTCTTTTGAGGCTTCTCTGTTTGGCTTATAGATGTTCACCTTCTCCCTGTGCCTTCTCACAGTATTCCTTCTGTGTCTGTATCTGTATTTGGATCTTCTCTCCTTATAAGGATACCTCATTGAATTAGAGCCCACTCTAATTACCTCATTTTGTTCTAACTACCTTTTTAAAGACCCTATCTCCAAAAGCAGTCAGATTCTGATATACTGGTTGGTAGAACGTCAACACATGAATTTTAGGGGAGCACAATTCAGTCAACAGCACCCAGACAACACCAAATGCTGGTAAAGATGTGGGGCAACGGGAACTCTCACTCATTGCTGGTGGGAATGCAAAATGGTACAGCTGCTGTGGAAGACAGTTTGGCAGTTTATGACAAAACAAAACATATTTTTATGTGATCTAGCAATCATGCTTCTTGGTATTTATCAAAATGTGTTGGAAATTTATGTCCACATGAAAATCTGCACACGGATGTTTATAGCAACTTTATTCATAGTTACCAAACTTGGAAGCAACCAAGAAGTCCTTGGTGAATAGATGAATAAACTGTAGTACATCCAGACAGGGATGTACACAGCACTAAAAGGAAATGAGCTATAAAGGCATGAAAAGATGTAGAGAAACCTTAAATGCATACTGCTAAGTGAAAGAAACCAATCTGAAAAGGCTACACACCATATTATTCCAACTATATGACATTTTGGAAAAGGCAAAACCATAGAGTAAAAAGATTAGTGATTGCCAGTGGTTGATGAGAGAGAAGGAAGAATGAATAGGGGAGCAGGGAAATTTTAGGAAAGTGAAACTATTCTGCATGATAATATTGTCATGCGTGAAAAACCCATAGAACTACATAACACAAAGAAATTGTGCCATAAACTGTGGAATTGAGTTAATGATAATGTTTCAGTATTGGTTCAACAATGGAAATGAATGTACTGCAGCAATGCAAGATTGAAATACTAGAAGAAATTGTGTGTATGTGTTAAGGGAAAAGGGGTAAATGGGGACTGTACTTTCTCTACAATTTTTCAGTAAACCTGAAAGTACTTTAAAAAATAAAGTCTAGGCCGGGCGTGGTGGCTCAAGCCTGTAATCCCAGCACTTTGGGAGGCCGAGACGGGCGGATCACGAGGTCAGGAGATCGAGACCATCCTGGCTAACACGGTGAAACCCCGTCTCTACTAAAAAATACAAAAAACTAGCCGGGCGAGGTGGCAGGCGCCTGTAGTCCCAGCTACTAGGGAGGCTGAGGCAAGAGAATGGCATAAACCCGGGAGGCGGAGCTTGCAGTGAGCTGAGATCCGGCCACTGCACTCCAACCTGGGTGACAGAGCAAGACTCCGTCTCAAAAAAATAAATAAATAAAATAAAAAATAAAAATAAATAAATAAATAAATAAATAATAAAGTCTATTTTTAAAATACTAAAACATTAAAATGAAAACAAACTGCTAATTTTGATATATGAACTTAGAAAAGTGGTAGGATACAATGGATTTTTTAAATTACTGTATTCCTATATACCAGCA